CGTTACCCACCCGTTACCGAGACACTGAAACGGGTCGTGCTATAATGTGTATAGGCGTTAAGTAGCACCTGAGTTCACAGCAAGCGCTATCGGAGTACAGCTGGTGGCCACCAACTGTGCGAGCGCAGGGGGTCAATGAAGTCACAGGGTGCCGTAAAGGCGAAGGAACTGACGAGGGCGCTCAGGAAGAAGCGGCTTCTTGCGGGAGCAGTGGCACACTGCACGGTGCGAAGAAGTTCAGGCTTTCCCCAGATTGTAGCGGGTGAGGCGCCGAGATAGGCCGCTTCGGGTATCAGGATTCACTAGGACACAGGCGGACAGACGTGAGAGGAGACGAGGGCGGGAGCCAAGGTCAAAATAAAGAAAATGGAACCGAGCCGACCGCAGATATTTGAAGGTTCGCCCCGTCTCGATGGGACGAGCGCCCGAGGCACTCGGGCTTCTGGGCATCAATTGGGGAGGATGGTGGCAAGCGAGCATCTTCTCAGGCCGACGCAGTCCACGGACCCTACACAGGCGCTTTGCTGCTGCGAGTGAACGTTTGAACGAGCACCGACTGAATGGAGTGCAGGAGATAAGCCTGGTACGGGTTTGGCGTGTGCTCTCGGCAACTTGCGAACGTCGTGACGCGCCCCTCGAACGCGTCGAGCTGGTTGACGCGACGCGACGCGCTCAGACTCAGTATCACGCCTCCATGACTGCCTCGCGCGCGTTGCTGGCGGTCTCCAGGGCCCTACGGACGTCCCCAGTGCCCCGCCGTACCCATGCGGCAATTGCCGCGCGCTGGGCGAGCTCTGCACCTGTACAGGGTAATCCTGACATCATCAACACGCTCCCCAACACGGCCGACGAGGTCAAGGTCGACGTTCCGTCCGAGAGCGTGCCCTCGTCGTCTGCCCTGGACTCTCCGCTTTCTGCCGACAGCGGCACTGACTGGTCGCGTTCCTACCATGGCTTGTCCTCCGTGCCGTTTCCCAAGGAGGTCGCGGATATATTGCTTCAGCCTATAGACCCTCTTGACGTGGAGATCAAGCCAGGTACGCTGACGCATTCTCTCACACTTACGACATACAAGTACTGACACTTGCGACAGACGGCTTGATTTACCTGCCGGAGATCAAGTATAGACGCGTGCTCAACCGTGCGTTCGGACCAGGTGGTTGGGGGCTTGCACCGCGCAGCGAGACGAATGTCGGTCCGAAGATTGTCAGTCGTGAGTACGCGCTTGTATGCATGGGAAGGTAAGCTACTGTCTCCCGGTATGCATGTTCACCACTCTCAACTATGTCATGCAGGCTGGTTGGCATCGCCCGTGGCGAACAGGAGTACTTTGACCCCAACGGCATTCCGACTGCAACGGAGGCGGTCAAAAGCAACGCCCTGATGCGCTGTTGTAAGGACCTTGGTGTCGCGTCTGAGCTTTGGGACCCGCGCTTTATTCGCGAGTTCAAGGCGAAGTATGCCGTCGAGGTCTATGCCGAGCACGTACCTACCAAGAAGAAGTGAGAAGACAGGCCGTCATCGCAGTGACGCGTACTGACTACACATTGACAGGCGCAAACTTTGGAGGAGGAAAGACCAGCCCAAGTTCGACTATCCGTACAAGGAGTAGACTTAGCTCGCCTCGCAATTGATGCCTTCTCTTATCACTCATGTGGAACGCGCTTGTATCTTATTGCTTTCGATTGTCATAATGTCACATCATCTTAGCACATCGTGAGCCACTCCGTCAGAAGGGCCAGGAACCAATTATTTGGACATTAGGGAGCGCGTACAACAGCAGAAAAGAGGTACTACAGCGAGCCATATATACGAGCATAAATCCACGTCTACATTGTTCACAACTGGAGAGAGCTGACCTATTTCTTTCCCCCTTTCTTCTTTCCTTTCTTCGGCGATGCAGTTGCGCTCGATGCCCCAGCTTTCTGCTCTTCAGCCTTCTTATCCTCTTCGGCCTTTTTCTCAGCCAGCTCCTTAGCCCGTAGCTCGGCCTCGGCCTTTCTCGCCGCCTTCTCCTCCAGCTTCTTCGTTTCACCCCGGTGCAAGAACTGAATGACGATGCTGCCTATGGCTCCAGTGATGATGTATAATAGCCAGCGCGGGAGCGTGCGCGTAATCCTGTACATCTCATTGAACCCGACCGCAATCCAATGCATCACGAACTCGCTGATCGGCTGGTCAGAACGGACCGAAAGAACAGCGAGACTACAAGCACGCACCGCTTGCCACCAGGAGCAAAAGCCGAATTCCAAGGCGGGGTATGTTGCCAGAGCTCATTCTTCAGGAATTCGCGTAGAGCTTCAGCACGCAGGCGAATTTGGTTGGGGCGGTAGAAGCGGAGCGTCTGACCGCGGTCCTTAAGCACAACAACGTTCGGAGCGCTAGGACGGAATCAAATCAGCAAAGCCCACTTGTCAACAAGGCGAACGATAGATTGCGTACTTCCAGATACCCCACTTTGTCGTGATGTAGGTGACATTGATGTAGTCGATACGGCCCCACCTGACGTTTGGGAGGTCACCCGCGATGAGTGTTTGGTTAAAGGCGTCGTCAAAGTGCTGGTCTGCGAATTGGGAGATGCCATTTGGTTGAGCGGCCGTTACGGTGCTGCGTATAGAGTCAGTTTAGAGACCCAACGACGCGGATAGGAGGTCACACGAACATGATGAGGAGCCAAACGCGGTCGCGAGCTTCCTCCTCGGTCATCTCCTCGTTCACAATGATATCTTCATAATTCTCGTCCGTAATGAGCGGTATCCGCTTGTCCCAGACGTCCAAGTTCTTGGTCGCATTCGCGAGCTTGTCGGTGATGTTAATCCCAAACTTGTCGAAAAGTGCGACGGCGGGACCCGAGCCGAGGACATTCTCGACGGTGAGCTTGTCTGCGACCTGGTTGTAGAGCTCGAGCGGCGTCTTGCTCTTCGCCTGGGTCGGTGCCGCCTTTGGAGGGGAGGCGAACGGCTGCTGGCCCTGGTACTGCTGTTGCGCCGGCGGCTGGTCGCGCACGGGCATGCCGGGCTTCCATCCCTCGTCAAAGTACTGCGCCGCGGCGGGTGTGCACGCGAGCAGTAAGCTGGACAGGACGACGAGCAGACGCATCGCGGACGGGTGGCTGCAGGAAACAAAAGGCGACGGGCCACACGTACGCGTACGCCGCCCGGACGTGTTATCGCGTTCTCAGGAACAGGCGGCACTCGGAGCCACAGCCTACTCCTCGCAATTAGGTACGCGGATAAAGCGCGCCCCGGAAGGAGAAAATGAAGAGAAACATCGAAACATCCGGCCGGCGTCTATCATCTTTGTTCGAATCAAAGTAGTTGTAGTTCGAGATCAAGGCCCGCACGCGCAGTACGGCCGTCCCATTCCCGACCACTTGTCCTCTCCGTCCACGTCCTCCGGCATTCCTTCCTCCCCACTTTCTGTCTCTTCTATCTTATTCATCCTCGGGAAGGATACGAACAGTCTCGGAAATAATCGCTGGTCTCTTGCTCACGCGTCCGCCTGCTTCCACGCGTGATGCTTCCGCGGCTCTGCTGGCGGGCGGCCCTCGGGCTGCTGCCATTATTACTCGCGCCCTTTGCACATGCTGCGCCTACAGAAAGTATGTGATTCACTATCATAGGTGTACACGCGCTAAAGCAGAGTGTTGCCGACAGTTCCATCTGCGGCGTCGTTCTACGTCCCCACATTGCCAGATCTGCACCAAGACCCAAATCGCCCTCTACGCATTTACGCCGGTCACTTGCCCGCAGACCCCAACGCAGCCACCACACCGGCAACAACTCTCACCGCGCACCTCTACTTTGTGCTCATCAAGGCTCGCAAGTTAGCGGACAAGGAGCGTGTGCTCTTCTGGTTCAACGTATGTTCCGTATATCCCCATTCAATCGCATTCCGCTGAGTGTGCGCATCGTAGGGCGGACCGGGATGTTCCTCTTTTGACGGGCTTATGATGGAGGTTGGGCCGTGGAGGATGCATGAGGATGGACAACTATACGTCGAGGAAGGTGGCTGGGAGGAGTATACCAACATCGTATATGGTATGCACTGGCTGCATCTTCATCGTTTTCAGAGCCTGATGTTCAGATAGTTGACCAACCCGTCGGTACTGGATTCTCGTACGCCAGTACAGATCGCTATGTGCACGAGCTATCAGATGTGGGTACCTCCCGGTTCATGGTTCCGCATGTGCACTCTGACCCATCTATCCTACAGGCCGCTTCTGAGCTCATCGAGTTCATGCGCAATTTCTACAAGGTGTTTCCCGAATACCAAGGCATGGACGTAAGTAGCGGCGTCCTATGAAAAGGAATAATACTGATCTGTATACAGACGTATCTTGGAGGCGAGAGCTTCGCCGGCCAATACATTCCCTACTTCACCGATGCAATCCTCGACTCTACGCTCGGGGTCCCGCTCAAAGGCTCCATGATCGGAAATGGGTGGATTGATGCCATGCACCAGTACCCCGCCTACCTACAATATGCCGTCAAACACGGGCTCGTCGAAGAAGGCAGCAAACAGTACCAAACGGGCAAGAAAGCTACGGACGAATGCATGGCGATCCTTGAATCTGGTTCGCCCTCTCACGTGCCCGTACACGTCGATATCTGCGAGCAGCTTCTTGGAAAGGTGTCTGGGATGGGAGAAGGCCGTACCACGGGCAAGTGCTTGAATATGTACGATGTCCGACTCCAGGACTCGTATCCGGAGTGTGGTATGAACTGGCCACCACCGTTGCACAATATCACAGCGTATCTGCGCGTGAGTGTCAGGGATTATCATTTAGTCGAGCGACGGACTGACTGTATGATTAGCGTAAGGAGGTCGTCGCCGCCCTGCATGCAGAGAGCAAGGCAGAAGCATGGACGGAATGCAACGGGCCCGTACACACCGCTCTCACGATGCGCCGCTCGAACAGCAGTGTGACTGTACTACCTCGCGTTCTTGCACGCGTACCAGTCCTCATCTTTGCCGGCGACCAAGACCTGATCTGCAACTACGTCGGTCTCGAGAATATGATTCAAGGCCTCACATGGAACGGCGCCACCGGCCTTGGGACAGTCGAAACGCAGACGTGGTCTGTTGACGGCAAAGCGGCCGGTACATGGGTCTCCGCGCGCAATCTCACCTACGTCAAGATCTTCAACGCCTCCCACATGGTCGGCTTCGACGCGCCGATCGTTTCGCACGATATGCTCTTGCGCTTCATCGGTGCCAACTTGACCGCTCTTGCGGACGGCGCAGCGCGCATCCCTTCATCGCTGGGCTCGAACTCGCGTCCTTTGCTAGGAGAAGCTGCGTCAGATCGAACAGCGGAGAAAGGCGCATCTGGTGCGCCTGCGACGACACCGGAACAGGACAAGGCGCGCTGGGAGGCGTACTATAACGCAGGAAGCGCGGCGCTAGTGCTCGTACTGGTCATTCTGGCTGTCGGCACATTCTTTTGGTGTCGTGTTCGCCGCCGCCGTAGCGCCGGAGTCGCACTATCACAGCGCGCAGGCGAGGAGGAAGAGGCTATTCCTCTTACGCGCTCGAATCCGGACTTCTCGCGTTCGCAGGTTGACCTGCACGGCAACGGCAACGGCTATGATAACCTGCAGCCACGCAGTCTGGGGAAGGGGAAGGGCCGTGCGTTGCGTAGCCCGAGTCCAAGCCCTGCGGAGCAGCTCTTTGACGTGGGCGACAGCGAGGATGAGGAGGAAAAGAGCAGGTAGCTCCGTGCGCGCGCCGGTTGGCGCGCGGAGGTCAAATCTGCCTCGCCATTCGTGGCAGGGTTCTTGGTGCCGAAAGGGAAGATGGGTGCGGAATCGAGAGATGACATCCCGGAGAGTGTTGAGACTTAGGTCGCGGAATCATCTTTGGATGGCTCATTGCGCGTGTAATTTATGTGTTTTTGGAGAACTGAGCTGAGTATGCAGTGGTGTGAGTTTGGGCGACCAGACGCAGTACGTGAAAGGCTGATCACCGTGCGATTCATCTTGCATAAACCTGGAACCGAAATCCGCTTGTTGGCCGACCTGCGATATTACGACTGGCACCCCAATGCATGGGTATGTCTCTTACGATTGTAATCCCTGTTAACTGTGTTGTCTGATGAACTCGCACTTTATCACAGCATCGACGCCCGTTCTCTCACGTTCTATCACCGTTAACATGCTATTCAGTACATTCACTCCTGCCTCGCGGTATGCCCACCTCCATGCGACCGATAGCATTGCCTGCCATCTCGGCGTATCATCATCAAGTCTTGGCCAGTTTTATCTCATCGCATTACATTGCGCCGGTAACAAAGTCCCTACCGGTGAGGTCCAAGTACGGTGTGCAGATGCCGATACTTGGTCATCGATCCGTCTCAGGAAGCGCCAAGCAGGTCAGCGACGCACACAGCCCATGGTCCATGCAACTCGTCGAGGTCGGACCATTATGTCCGGAAGACTGCAAATCGACGTATACAGGTCCCGACCAGTTGAATACGTTCTGCATAAAGTGCAGCTCCGTTGACAGCTCGATCTTAGGTCTCTCCTATCCATCCTTCTACACATTCCCTTGGGCATCCTGCCAACTATGAGGTTGTCCAGCGTCCCGATTGCCTTCGCCACCTGTCTCGGCGCCGCTGAAGGCGCCATCCTGGATAAGCGCAACGCTACCGAATGCTCGGAAGCTCTACAGTCAATGTCATTCTACGACCGCCCCTTCGTCTTCCCTCTCTTCTATTCCTGTACGACAATCCTAGGGGATTCAATCGAGGCCAAGGAAAACCCCTGGGTTCACAAGGAATGTGTCGCTGCTGCCGTTGCCGCTAGCGTACGTTATACACTGACTGAATGCGCAAACCTTCTTGCTCACCGCGGTATAGATACCGATGCTTCATGACGGGCTCTCCTGCCTCATTGGTACCACGGATGCCGTTGCCCTCCCAGCCGCCTCGGCATGGCCTAGCTTGGACTACAACGTGTACGCGTCCATCATCGGCAGCTGCGCCTGGGACGAGGGAGGTTGCCCCATTACGAAGCAGAACTTCATCGACCTCATCTACAGCACCATATCCCAGGAAGATGGTCCTTACCCAAAGTATGCGTCTCCAGTACTTGTCGCTGCTGATTGCGATGTTCACTGATTACTAGGTCGGCTACCATACTCATTGACCGCTACCTCAAGCCAATCTTCAGCTGGACCGGCTTCGATCTGGAGGATGGCATCCCCTATCTTAATTTTAATGACTGTACGTCTACTAGGGTATCTAGCCTAGGAGGCTGTATGCTGAGCGCATGTGTAGATCTTCATTACGCACCCTACATCAATCATTGCGATACTGCGATTCAGTGCGACACGTGAAGACAGTGAGTCCTTATATTCAGGCTCACCATAGCCGGCTTTCTCTGGTGGGATATGTCCGCAGACACACATTCGCTTTTAGCGATGACGCTCTTTACTTCATGATTCCCGCTTATCTTGGTCTCCTGGTTTGAATTTGGGCTCATGTAGTCTACTTCGTTGATATCCCCGCTATTCGAGGCACGCAACTTTGTATACACCATGGTTACCTCGGCTACTGGGTACAATTCGTGAGCGATTAGAGTGATCAAGGCATCTAAGCTGCACACACGTATGTGCTTTATGGCCTATCGCGATCGACTCTCAAGGAGTGCATCAACGAGGCAGTCTGCAAGTATGGAATGTACTTCCGCGGTGGGGTGCAAGTCATCGGCCCATATCGGACCACATTCTGTCTCAACATCATCAGGAGTGAACTCGTACTCCTCCGGATCGTCGAGCACGGCGCTGAGAACGGCATTCGCAGAGAAGAGGAAGACACTCGCGCGTGGCGTTTCCGCTGCGAACTCATGTACCCGTCTGTATAGCGATTCGTTCCATGCGTTTGTGCGCTCCGCCATGCGTAGTTCGGATGCGGTGGCGATAGCTATGGCAGTGAATCCCGTCAGTATGCACTAGCGGAGACGTCGGTATCTCGCTACCTATCGGGGTCCGTTCCATGGGTGCGACGTCCAAGAAAACGAAGTTTCTTGCTCCTGCTTTGATGTATAGATCATGCACACCATCCAATAGTATCTCAACCACAGAATCCAAATCGTCTGTATCCGTATCGAGTTGGCCACAGTCATTCGACCCCAGGAAGAAGACTATGGGCGACCACGATAAGCGGTCTCCGACAATACGAATGAGGAGCTCACTCACAATACGTGGTATCGTTTGCATCCAAAGATGTCCCGGACGCCGAAGCCTTCGGTGGGAACTCTACGAAGAACCGGGCTAGTTGCCCAGAGAGATCATCGGCAGTGGTCGCTCCATTGAAGGCAAAGCTGCGTGTCCGAGTAGTGCGTCGTGACTTGCGGCTTAGATGTGATACCTGAGGACCAGATAGCTAAGGTTTGGCTTCCGATGTGTGACTTAGTAACAGTTGAATCGACGTACCCAGGTTGAAGGAAGCACTGACAAAGAGTCTTGCATACCAGTCTCGTCAGGACGGATTCTCTCGCCTGTGTATAGGCTATACGAACCTCCACTAGAGTTATACATATCGGTATCAAGCTCAAGTATATTGATGGGCAGATAGCTCATACGTACAACACAATGACCGTTTGCAGGGACATTTCGCAAAACCAGGATTCACGACAATAAGCAGCTTTCAGGTACCCTGTATGCCACATCCCCATGAGTATACGTGCGCAGAAAGGTCCTCGGTGTATTTAGGATGCAGCTTACCTCTAGCATTTTGTGTTCCGTCGAGACTCGAAGATTTGTTGGGCCTTAAACTACCAGAGGGCTCTTTGCCGTCATCGGTATCGGTGGTTGGTTCGGATTCTCTCCGTATACGTTTCGATGAGCGAAGATCACGATAGGTTTCGTACGTTTTACGCTTGTGAGAGTCTTCCAGCATGTTGTTCGCAGTGTGTATGACGGACATGATGAGGGTCGCAGTCAAGTGAATAAAGGGACGTTGATGTGGTTGGGTTCAATCCGTGTGACCACCCAGGCGTGAGAACATTTCCGCAACTTGCGGTCTATAGGCTGGTCTGGCGCTGTTGTATGCCGATTATCTATGACGTACATGCACAGGTCTATCACGCCCTCATACGGGGTGCTACAGCTATGAGCGTTCCTCGAATCATTCGCAGAATTTGCCCACCGCCCATTGGCGAATGACGGGAGCGCTATTGACTGGGGACGGCCAATAACGTACTAGATTGCGGCGAACATCGTCCAAGTAATATCCCTGTAGATAGCCGTGCTCGAACATGTCCTGTACGAACTCATTCATCCACCACCTGTGAAGCGCTCAGCCTCTGACATGTCGGCGCTAGCAGCTTCTTTCATCGACTCACCTCCCACCCGCACCCCCTGCGGCGAAAACGTACTGATCTCGCTTCTCGCGGATAATCAGATCCAAGATGTCGCATACCCGCGTTTTATCATTCGGGCATCGTGCAGAAACTACGGCTGCACTGGGCACTTGCGTCCGCGCGGCCGTCTCGTTCTCGAGCGTAATCTTGCCGCGCATTCCCTCGTCTCCCGGGACGACGGTCACGGTCACCGACGTGTCATCTCCCGTCTGAAGAGACAGAGACCATCGATTTCCGTCCCGGCCAGCTTGGTGTTCAGAGTTCAGATGTGCGACAAAATGGTATTGCGAGACGCCCGAGGACAACGTGGTGAGGTCGAAGCGGCTCGTGTCCCAGTTGGCGCCTGGTTGCGTGATATGCTTCGGTACGCTCTCAAGTATGGCTGCTGGTTGGCCCTGTAGAAAGGCAAGAAGCTCTTTTTCCCAACCGGGTTGTGGCGTTTTGGGGAGAGTAGGCTCCGACTGGGACATGATCTTCTCGCGTGGGTTGATGACGGTGCAGGTTTGAGAAGGGTGTTGCACCGGACGAGAGGCCACGGCGAGCGTGATCACTACTTACAGGCTCTGCCTGTAAAGTGTACGTACAGACAAGGCAGTATAACCGTGAGGCCGAGTTCTCCGCCGAACAGGGGCGCTGAACAAATCTAGTTTGAACGTCAACGTTGAAGTACTCAGTGTTGGAGTATGGTATGTGAAGGGTAGGCACATAACCTATAGCTACTGCGCAGTTTCCACTATCCGAGAAGTATTATCCGTGAGATTCGCTTTCGAGTTCGATACAACACAAGACTTGAATTCGCAGGACTTCGTGAGGTAGTCGTGACAGGAGGAATAAGAAGCGCGAGCAGGCAGGAATCAACGAGATGAACGATGCGACGGAGCTGTAAAACCAGAGCAATAAGCAAAGGGAACCAGGCAGACGAAAATGTCACAGGTAATGACGCGATGGATGTAGACGGTAGCGCGGAGGAGGTATACAGTGAGGGTCGGTGCGCGGATGAAACGGATGCTACACGGCGGATCGGACGCGGGAGGGGTATGCAATGGAAGCGTAAAGGAAAGGGGCAGAATGTGCAATGAACGTGTGTGTTTTGGTAGATTGGGAGATCTAGAAAGCAGTAAGATGTAATGGACAAGCACGTCCGACCGTGCGGCATTCTGAGGATATGGATGGGCTGACGCGAGGTATCGCATGGTGTGTTGTGCGCCAAATCACTCTGAATATCCAGTATGAGCAACCCGACATACACGGAGCTTCTATGAGCCGGACAAACCTCGAGCCTACACCGCAAAGTCCTCCATCCCATGATAACTCCTCCCGTACGGTTTCCTCTCCCGCACGACTGAACTCGCCACAGGCACCTCCCCGAACGCACTGGGACCACCCATCAACCACGCTGCCCACCATCCCTCGGCCCCACCATCAACCTCGCCGCTATCTCTCCTCGCCAACCCCTTTCCTTTCCTTCTTGACCTCGACCGACTTCGACTTCGCGTCCTGCTTGATCTGTTCCCAGTCCCAGTCGTGTCGTCCGGTAATGCCGCGAAACTGACTCGTGTCCCGTTCGGCGTACTGCGTCCGGAACTACTCGCACTCCCTCCGAACGGCAAGTGCAGCCCCAAGAAGCTCGCACTGGGTGTTGGCGGTTGCGTTGAAGGTTGGCTGCCCTGCTCGCTACCCGCGATGCTTGGGCTGGGCGGCACGCTCCCATTGAGGCCAGGTCTCTTCAAAACGCTTCTCCTCGCCGCGCGCGCGTCCTCACTCCCGGCGTGCATATGCGTACCACGGGTGAAGAGGCGGGAAATGCTAGCGGTCGCATGCGATGTCCCGACAGTGGGAACTGCGCGCGTCCGCGGTTGTAATCCACGAGGGGGTGGGGGCGGTTGATCGGCCATGATACGCCGCAAAGCCTGTACTGAGAGCACGGGGTTCGGGATATCCGAAGACGAGCGGGAGTAGTCTTCAGAGTCGGGTGAGGGCGAAGAGACCTCAATCGGAGGCGTCATGGCGCGCGTTGGAAGGATAAGCGGGGTAGGGGGTGCCGCACGATTGCCGCGCGTAGGCGTTGGACTGCGACTGGGACGTAAGACAGTTGTGCTGGAGGAGGGTGTCGATGACAGGCTCGCAGGTGCACGATGTGGTAATTGAGTTTGTGTGGGGTCGTAGTGGTAGGAGATCGGGCGGGGAACTTCAGCGGAGGCCGTCTCGATACTGGCGCGACGCCTTGTGGGACGGAGAGGTGGTGAGCGGGCATTCTTGCCGGCGGCAGAAGCCGAGGGGCGGCGGGCGAGGAAGGATGACAGCAATGACGAAGCCGACGGCGTGGGCGGGGGTTCAGGCGATCTGGGCGCTTCTCTTGCCTGAACGGGCGGCGGGAGAGGCGCGGTACGACCGGGCCGGAAGAGGGAGGGCTTCCTAGGCGGCGAAGACGTGTTTGGTAGTCCGTCGATCCTCGCATCGGGCAAGTCGTTGACACTCGCTTCCGTGGGTGACTGGACGGCGCTTAGATTGTGGGTCGAGCCAGTTGCGCGAAGTCCGAGGGTCGAGGGCAGTTCGAGAGTTGCATCATCCGGGTTCTTGTGGGGATCGAAGTCGATGTACTGCGTCAACGCACGAGGTGCGGGGGACACGAACCGAGAGCGACCAGCAGCACCGAATTGCAGGTTTCCCGCGCTGTTGCTGTCCGGGTCGGTCTTCAAGCGCAGATCCGTCGAGGAGCTCGAGCGAATGCGGGTGTGCGAGCGTAGTCGCTGGTGCAAGGGTGAGGGTCCAGCAGTACCGGGCAGACTCTGGCTGATGCCGTCCATATCGAGGTCGAGAGCAGGCTTTGGGTTGTGGATGATGGCCGGCAAAGTTCGGTGTTCAGGAACGGGTAGCTGCGGAGTCTGGCGAGGGGGTGCGGAATGCGGAGGGGAGTCGTTGGCTGCGATGGCAGCGAGGGAGGACTGGGTGGTGATCGAGGACTGGAGGAGGGCGTTGGAGACTTCGAGTGCCTGGATGGAGCGGGCGAGGAGGTCGTCCAAGTTAGGGTCGTTCGACTCTGACTCGGAGCCGCCGGGTGATGCAGATCGGGACCGTACTCTGGACGGTGAGAGCGCGAGCGGGCTCAGGCTGGACGCCGACGGCCGCGACCTGTGCGAGGGCGGCAAGCGCGGGGACGGCCGCAGGGGCGCCAACGCCCGGCTGTTTCGACGCCGGTGCAGCGGCGGCGGCGGAGAGAGCGGCAGCCGGCGGCGGACATCGTCCTCGGACGAATCGTCATCGGCCTCGTAGCTGGGCGGATCGTCCCCAAACTCCCCCTCCTCCCCGCGTCCGACACCGCCAAAGTTGCCAAAGCTCGGGGTCGAGCGCGCGTACGGGGAGAGCGAGTACGCCGGTAGCGAAGCCGTCGTGTCACTCGATAAGCGCGCGACCGACATGCGCTTCCGATGCCTCCGCGGCGGCGAGGCGGCGCTGCTCGCCATGCTGTATAGAGCTCCTCAGCAAGTCAGGCAAGTGGAATGCCGGCAGAGAGTATGGCCGGCGCGTCGACGTCGTCGCTCGAGATCTGTGCCCCCATTTGGGAAGAAAATATGGCTATATTCTCACGACTGCTTTTCGCGTCACCACGCAATTGCCGCCGTCGACAGCACGCGTCACTGGTCACCAGGGACAGCCTCACTACCGAGTATACTCCAGCTCGCGCTAAACAGTTATGGAACCCGTCAACGGTAGACTTTGGATCGGTGAAGCGCACATCTTTCGGCAAAGCAGTATATCAAGAAATTCCCTATTACCCGTATATAGCACATATATATAAGTACACACAGCACTGGCATTATACGCCCTTTACAGCTCCTCATGCTTGACCTTTTCCGCCTCATGCTCCTCAACGACCTCTTCAACCGGCAACTCGACCTTGTCCTCTTCAAGAACCTCGTCGACCGTGACACGCTCCTCAGTCGGAGGCGGGCCACGCATCATCTCCTCGTACTCTTCATCTGAGATCTCCTCCATCTCGAATGCAACCTTCTCCTTCATGTGATCTGGAACCACGACCTTCGCCTCGCCGTCGTCCTCTTCGGGCTCAGGTTCGTACGCGGACTCCTCCAAAATCTCAGGGTCAGTCGGCGGCGCGGGCTTGACCTTCGCTTCAGTCGGGGCGTTCTCGTCGACACCGAGCGAACGACGAAGGACACGGTCAACGCGCGTCATGAACCTACAGATCATCAGCAGAGCTCGTGCATATAGAGGGGCGTGAAACGTACAGGTTTGAATCCCAGACCTCGAAGCCGGAACGTACAAGAGCACCGTCAATGAGCACGGCCGCGACCTCCTTGAGCTCCTCCTCGTCTGCTTTCTTGATATCCTCGTCTTCCTCGTCCGCAAGCCTCTCAACGCGCTTCAATAGGCCTTCGATGAGCGGTGACCTCGGATTGATCTCAAGTGTTTTCTGGCGCGCGTAGTACTCCTGCATCATCCGCGTCGGGTCGTCCTTCTCCTGCGCTTTACGCCCGTTCTGCATCATACGCTGCATGTTGGCCGTGAAACCACGCTCGTCGGCGAAGATCGCGCATGGGGAGGTTACGAGGCGGTCGGAGACGACCACTTGACGAACGACTTGGTCGGCCTGAGTCTTGAGCCACTTGGTCAACGGCGCGAACTTCTCCTTCCACGCCTTGAGCTGAGCCTTTTCCTCCTCGGGGTCGAGCTCTGTTTGCGGTCAGCACTATAGTACAATCCGAAGACGTCCAGACACGCACTCTCGTCACCGAACTTGAGGCCTTGTTTCGCGGCATCTTGGAAGGGGATACCTCTGTGGCAGATGTCAGGTCGAGGGAAAATCGAGACATTGGAATCGTACATACTGCCACTTGCGCAAGTTTTGTACGAAGAGCTCGTCGATGGGGTCCGTGAGCAACATCACCTCGTAGCCACGCGCGTGAAGCTTCTCGACAAAGACACTGCGCATGAGATCCTCCTTCGTCTTGCCGAGATCAGCAAGGTAGTATAGCTGTATGAAGCCTCAGTACGGCGTAAACGCGCTGAGAGGAGTAATGCGCAAACCTGCTTCTGGCCTTCCTTCTTGTTCTCGACGTAGTCGTCGAGCGAGATGAACTCGCGCTGGTTCGTGTTGAGCCTGACAAGCTTCGCCAACTTTTCCTTGTTCTTCTCATCCTCTACTGCGCCCAACTTGAACACATTTCCATACACCTTGCTGATCTTCTTAAACTTCTCGTCATCTTCCTCCATGACCTTCGTGAACGTCTGAATGACACGCTTGAGCAGCGCATTCTTGATCTGCTTCAGGAAGCTCGTGTTTTGTAAGGTCTCGCGCGAGACGTTGAGCGGGAGGTCGTCCGCGTCGACGACAGCCTTGAGCCAGGAGGCCCATTTTGGGAGGTAGCCTTCGCCCATGTCCGACGTAATGAAGACACGCTTGACCATGAGTTTGATCTCGCGAAGCGTATCCTGCAAGGGCGCGTTCCAGAACGATTCGGGACTAAAACCAATGTAAGCGCGCGCGTGCAACGAGACTAGGAGAGGACATACAGATGGCCGGGGATAAAGAGTAAGGCCTTGAAGGACACGCCGGATCCGATGTCGCCGGAGAAATGGTGCCAGGCCAGCGGCTTCTCCTGGAAGTCTTTGAACGTCGTCTGGTAGAAGAGTTCATACTCGAAGTCGGAGATGTTCTTCGACTCCCTACATGCCATCTGATCAGTCGGGCATACAGGAAATCATTGTCATACACGTACATGGTCCAGAGCGGCGGTTGGGGGTTTGAGTGTACCCAGCGCTCGACAGTGACAGTGGTGAACTCGGGCTCCGTCGCCTCGGTCTCTTCAGGCTCCTCCTCGAATACCGCCTCGTCCTCGTCTTCGGGCGTGGCCACCTCGGGCTTCTCCTCTTTCTCGACCGGGACGCGCTCTTCTTTCTGCTCCCAGGTGTAGATGGGGAATGAAGTAGAGAAAGTCGAGTGTTTGCCGCTAGAGGCCAAGTCAGCATGCCACAGCTGGCCATGAGTGTACCGGGCGTACATGAGCTGAGCGATTGTGACCGGTTCGAGGTACTCCTCCGCATCCGGCTTCAACACAAGAGTGATCTCCGTCCCTCGCTGAAGCGTCCGTCCACGGGGATCCTCATAGATATCGAAATCGCTCTCCGCCGCTGTGCTCGCGAACACCCACTGTGGTGCGCTAGGGTCGGACGCGGCTTCGGCAGGGACAGAGGCGACGAACACCTGGTCCGCGACGAGGAAAGACGAGTAGAAGCCAACACCGAAGGCGCCGATGAGATTGCCCTGTCCCTGCGCGTCAAGCTCTCCGTTCTCGGATTTGGAGAGGAACTCGGTAGTTCCGGACTTTGCGAGCGTGCCGAGGTTGGCGGTGAGCTCTTCCTTGGTCATGCCGATACCGTTGTCTGTACACTGTGTCAACACGCAGTTCAGGTGGATACATCCAAGTACTGACCGGCAATGACAAGGCGCCCAGGTTTGCCATCTTCGCCCGGGTAGGCGCGAATGGTGACATTGAGCTCAGAGCCGCCATCCCAGTACTCGCGGTTCGTGAGCGAGGTCATGCGGAGCTTCTCGAGCGCATCGTTGGCGTTGGAGATGAGTTCGCGAAGGAAAACCTCCCTGAAGGTTTGTTCAGCACAGTCTCATATCGATATTAGAGGTCGCCTCACCGGTGAGAGTAAAGACTACGCGAGGGAAGTATAAGCGCACGGTACTATAAGACAACCTCTAGAGCGTACCTGTTGATGACAATGTTGCGTAGACGCGCTACATCACTCTGCGCAACAAATCTCAGTACAGTGTCAGATATTGAGCATGGCACGAAGTTACCTGGTAGCTATGGCGCTGCTTGCCCGAGGCAGCCTCCGCGTCCTGAGCCCAGGCGGAAGAAAAGAGTGAGAGCCCGAGCAGCACCGGCTGCAGGAACCGCATCTTTGTTCACTGGCTGGCTATGGGTAGTGTGGGTGTGAGACAACAACCAGACGGGAACGGTGGTGGATTTAATACGAGAGCTCGCTGCGGGGAACTGACGGCGTGGCAAGACACGTTGCAGCATCCTCCTCAGATCTCACGGGTTCGCGTTTCGACATGTGGACAGCGGCCGTAGTCAGGAACAGAGTCTGGAAAGTTCGCTTTCATGTGGTGCCAATACATGCGTAGGCTACTATGGGACTATGAACAGTATGAAATACACGACGGTTAGATGTGCAACTCCTCGACCTGATACATCCCGACTGCCATGTTCGCTCGCTCATGAGCAGCTTTTCTCCTCTTACGCCAGTCTCCGTGATCCACGTGAGCGTCCTTCTTCGGTCCAGCTTTACGCGCAGCATCGGCTTTGACGTACGCTTCGAGGGGCACAGAGAGTTGCGTCAGCTCGTCCAACAACTCTGTCTCGGGAGCGAGCCGGGATGATAGGCGCTGCAATAAAGTGCGCGCTGGACGGTACTGCAGCAGCGCTAGGAAAGACGAATCCAATATTGTTCGGAGGAAGGTGACGATCTGAAGACAGTAGTCAGAAATCACTACATATCTGGAGGAGTGCTGGGGCATACCTTCTCAATTGGCGGAAGTTCATCTGGAGCATTGATTTTGTCTTCCGGAGCGAGCAATAGCCGCTCGCTCGTGAAGATCTCGTCTAACCAATCATCAATGATCTCCAGTACGGCGACAACGTTCTCCGGCTCTGGAAGGTACTGGCGAATCGCAAGCCTCAATGGCGCTATTGATGTCGAATATCTAACAGCCAGTCCCAGAAAGGGCGCAAGAGCAGGAGTGGACGGAGTACCGTCAACTTGCATCTCGTCGGTTCCAGAGCTGGATCGAACGTGTGCGACGACGATAGATCGCAGGGCATCCAGGACGTCAGATTCTGGTATGTCAATCACAGTTGTTAAGGCCAACTGCAGTAGATTCTATATAGATGCATTAGCATGTAACTTGAGTACCAAGGAAAGGGGAAAAACGCACAAAGTCCTTGCGTCCCCGCAATGCTGGTAGCAAACCTCCATCAACCATGGAGCTCGACACAAGCTTGCGTTTCAAAAGATCCTCCACAATCTTTGACGCATGGGGCTTGCCAGCCTGGAAGTTCGTTGCGACAAGCCGCCGCAAAAGTTCGTTACTGGGCACCGCAGCGCCTTGTTGCTTGACGTATGTGGCATACGCTATCTCTGCGTCCGCGACACGTTTCTGGCAGAGGGCGCTCTCGACCTTCTTGAGCATGGTCTGTCCGGCTTCGTCGATGGACGACTCGTCCAGCGCGTCGTCAGCAGGCTTGGCGAGCCAGCCGACGCCGATACTCGCTGCGCGCATTGCGCCAGCGAGAGTTGAGCGAGCAGGTACTACTAGTGGGACTGCGTAGACTGCGGCGCGCGAGCCAGATTGTTTAGGCGATAAAGACAATAAAGCCTGAGACGAAGATGCTGCCGCTAATTGCAAGTGGTAGCCGGAGGAGGATGACGGGATGGCCAGTGTGTGTTCCGCCAATACGACGGAATAGATCAAATCCAGCATCAAAATTGCGATGGAAGGCGAAGTGCCCGACGTCAAAGCAGCAAATAAACCCAGGGACGAGTGTAATGAGAGCATTGAGTATCCGGTATCGTCTGATACGAAGCTAGAGCGGTCCAGGTGGATGCTGGACGGTAGGCTCCTGATAGTGCGAGGTGGAGGTGAGGACAGCTGTACCTGATATGTGGTAATGGTCCGCGACGAATGCAGGATGGATATCAGTCCAGACTCGTTGAATGTGACGTCCAAAAGGTCCTGTCGGGAACTATCAGGTGAAGATGCCTAAGTGGCGACAGATCCTCACTGACCTCTGGGGATAAGTCCAAACTATCTTCGCACACTCTTTCCAGGTCTTCTCCAATAGTATATCCAAGCGTCAGCAGGCCATCACTAGAGGACAAGAACAGAACGACGGTGATTTGAGATGGGGGTCGGCCGATCGGTAGGAAAGAGCATTTGGATGTAGCGAAGACGAAGCTCTTGACTAGCTTAGAGCCAGAGGACAAATGCGGCTCGGTGTGCCGCACGGTGAGGTCAGCGTCCAGGATTGTGAGGTCCCCATGACCGGATATTGCAACGAGAATATCTTCGGAAGTGGAAGGCGCGATGAGCTGAACGACATCGTGCGAAAGCTGAACAGGGTGTTAACGGATTTCAGTGAAGCAGGGCCGGGCATGGCCTACCACAATAGCCTGTTTGTCAGCCGCACGGGCGCTCGAACCTTCGAGGGGCTCCCTCCACAGCCATATTGTGCGATTCTCCGCCTCCTTTTTGACCTCTGAACTAGATGCGACGACAGCATACGTTTTGCGTATGCGAGTTCCATTTTCATCTACCACGCGCGAAACGGCGGGACATGCAAAGGTTGTGGATGGTCCGAGGGTGTAAGAGTTGGATATATGAAGCTCTGATACCTGTCACCGCGTCAGTATGACCGCCCAAGAAGCGCGACGCCGAATATAACACACATCAAGGACGTGTACGCCGTCTCCGTTCACCGCGACTGTCGCGAAGCCCTCCTTTGCGCTGCGGTCATAGGACACATGGAGAGGTTTCGCGGTGCTGGGCCTGGACTTGGATGCCTTTTTGGGAAGATCGAAGGCGGAGAGGAGAAAGGGTTCGTTCACAGACGCGTTCATCGTGGATGCGGGCAAGCCGAAACTTTTTTGAGAAGAGAAGCGCGCATGACCGCGTCGCGATCTCCCACGCTGTACGATTGCTCACAGCCTCCGTTATCTCGCTTGGAGCGATACGTCGATTGGCGATATACTCCGCATTTTGTTCACAGATAGTGGAGGTTGAGGGCAGACAGAAGCAGAAAACACGAGGGAACGTGTGTGTGCGTCGGGGAGCGTGCAGGCCGCGCGGCACGAGTTGAGGGGGCTCAAGTGCCAGACTCGCCTCAGCTCTGGCTTCCACCCTGACGTCGACGGTCGACCGGTAACCCAATGTCTATTCTGGGTTATATCGTGAAGCCTCTGGCATACTTTGGCCTGCCAGCCTTTGCTCTACACAAACTGTCTCAGTCGAACCCTGTGGCGAAATACTATGTTCGGCTCACGCTCTACGTCTCCACTATGGGCCTGTGCTCGGTCTGGGGCGTCATAGTCTCCGTAGCTCTATCGCTGGTGGGGCAGAAATACAATGTCAACTGGGTCATTGCTCGCAGCTTCTACAATCTTGCCGGACACATCCTGAACGTGAAATTCGTGGTGGAGGGAGAAGAGCACCTCGAGACTCGACCGTCGGTGCTCGTGGGCAATCACCAGAGCATGTTTGATATATTATATCTTGGGCGGTGCGCAGACCGCTGTGTGTTGGATAATGAGAATGTGCTCATCAAGTATATGCAGCATCTTCCCGCTCAGAGCCTCGATCATGGCCAAGAAGGAGCTACAGTGGATGCCGCTGCTCGGCCAGTTTCTCACCGCATCCGGCGCCGTGTTCGTCGATCGCGGCAACAACGCGAAAGCAGTTCGCTCTCTCGCCGCTGCTGGCGAAGCTATGCGCGAACGCGGCACCTCCTTGTGGCTATTCCCAGAGGGCACACGCTCAATGCGCCAGTATCACGATATGCTCCCCTTCAAAAAGGGCGCCTTCCACCTTGCCGTACAGGCAGGCGTGCCTATCGTACCCGTCGTTTGCGAGAACTACTGGAGGATCTATCGTCAAGGCGTTTTTGACGAGGGAGTGCTCAAGATCAAAGGTGCGCGCTGATCGATGCGCTAATCAATACCGTTGTAAATATGCCCATGCAGTGCTACCGCCCATACCGACGACTGGCTTGACAACTGCGGATGTCGGTGATCTAGCGGAGAGGGTGCGCGAGCAGATGGTCGCCGCTCTCCGCGAGATTTCCGACCCAAATGCACCGCCTGCGCCCGATTCGAAACCGGCGCCTCCTGCTGGGGACGCGAAGAAGCCTGTCGTGGCAACTGCACCAGAGCCTACGCCTGTAACTCCACCCCAGGTCGATCGAGATCTTCCAACACCGGCTACACCTGCGCTCAGCGAAGCCTACTCATTATCGGAGGAGAGCGTACGACGTGGGAGCGAAAATGGCGCTGAAACCGAGGAGGACGAAGGCATGGTACTAGTCGGACGACCGGAGCGGTAGACGCCGGCTGATCTGAAGAAGTCTGCTTGCTCGGCCTATGTGCGACGGGCAGGCGAACCATACCTTCATTTTTCGTACGTTCTCCGTTTCTGGGACTTCGATTTGTCGTGCAGAATGGAAATATAATCGAGATGCGTGCATTCGCGCGTGAAAGTCTCGCAAGTGCTTCAACCAATACATATGAGCAGCCTCCACAATATCAGCCTCTATGTTCGACGCCGGGCATCTTGCCGTGATAACCCCTGGCCTGCAGTCGCTACATGGCTTGCCATATGCGCGCAGCGCAACACAACATACTTAGGGCCGAGATAAACTCAGGAGGGCCAAGGACCAAGAACTGGATGACGCACGATTGCTTCCATCAGGTTGACATGATGTCGTGATGTGAGGTGGCCGCTGCAGCAGGTCAGTCCCTCCCATGAGTACAATACTTGCCGCCATCTCTCATGTGTACCAGCCTGCTTCAGGCACGTACAATCCATTCGGAGAAGCTCACTTCGGAACGTGCGCTCTGCTTTTTCTGTCATGCTCGACCATCTCCCCCCAAGACCCGATTTCAGCGATGAGCTGTTCCACGGCCAGTGAGTAAGCACCAGCAGGTCCGCTGTCCGCATGGTTTTCACACAGATCTTCCGCGGAACAATACCCACATATCATATGCAAGCGGCCCATAGATGGAGATCGAGGTAGATCCTTACTCCCAGGATGTTCACTAGCCGAGTGTCACCAAGATCAGGCTGTGCAATATCTATAACTTCCGCCGGCCAAGCACGTTGTGTCTCCGTCCCCGTCTCCATATATTATACAGGCGTGTCTGATCTTGATGCGTTCTCCCTACCCTTTCTGCTTCAATCCTGCTTGCCGCGACGCCCAGTCGATCTCGAGTGTTATAGCTCGCTCGCAGAGCCCTCATTGCAATACTGCTAACTTATCACCTTCTTCATTTCGCCTGCACTGTTTACCTATATGCCTGAGTTGTGCTTATATTCTTCATCCATGGCCCTGTTTCTTCTTCGGCTTCCTAGCCAGTCTATGCCGCTCTCTGTCATCGCGCTGTTGATCGCCGGTGTTATCGCCATACTGCTGTATGCCCAAACGCCCTCGCGTCGTAAACCTCCGGGTCCTCCTGGGTGGCCTCTCATTGGTAATGCGCTCGACTTTGGGGCGCAGAAATGGCTGACATTTGCCAAGTGGGGTGAAACATACGGTGCGTGATCGCCGTGCTCGACTTTGTAGAGCCAAACACTGACCGGAATGTTTCTACCGTCTCGGGATCACCCTTCCTCCACCCCAATGCCACCGGCATCACTCGCTATCTCCATTGAATCATCAGGAGACATCATCTACTTGAGCGTACCTTTGCTCGGCCTCCATATCGTGGTCCTCAACTCCTTGAAGGCGGCCACGGACCTTCTTGACCGACGAGCACAAAACTATGCCGATCGGCCTAGTAGCTGGATTATGGCTTCGTGCTTGCTTACTGGAGGTTACTTCCTCCCGCTCGCACCGTATGGTGATAGGTGAACCCTAGTTGACATTCTGCGACAACTGTACACCGATGTTCACGCGTGCTAGGACAGATGGCGAAGGATGCACAGAGTCGCTCACGAGTCCTTGCGCCGGACCAATGTCAATACCGCCGCAACGCACGAGGTTCAAGAGTGCGCTGCACTGGATCTCGCGTTGAATGTATTGGCCGAACCCGAGCGCTGGACCGAACACGCGCGCCATGCGATATCTAGCGCACTGCTTGCGCATACTTACGGTGTTTCGGGCCGCAGCGAGAGCGCGGTGCACTTCATGAGCACTGTCTACAAGTTTATGCGTAGAACCATATCTTCGGCATCTCCGGGCGAGTGGATCGTGGACTTCTTCCCGTGGCTAACACTGCTGCCGAGTTGGTGTGCCTCATGGAAGACTTGGGCGGCGGGACACTATGTGCGTAGCGATGCGGAGTTCATGAATATGGCAGGCGTCGATCAAGGAAAAGAGGTACGACGCTCAAAGAATCCGTCGCCACTATGGAATCGACCTAACGACGCTCCAGTCAGATACGGAGAGTACGCCGGCGTCACCCATATCGCCTACTGCCATTCCGAAATGGCACCCGTCTCGCTTCATGAATGGTCTGACCGCACGGGAGAGCGCTTGGCTTGCCGCGTCCATATACGCGGCAGGGTCAGAGACCACTTCCACTACCGCGGTATGGTGGCAGATTGCGATGGCTCTGCACCCTGAGGCTCAGGCGCGTGCACAAGCCGAGCTAGACACGGTTGTAGGGCGCTCGCGAGCGCCCACATTCGGTGATATGGAACACCTCCCTTACGTTCGCGCACTCGTACGCGAGACCATGCGATGGTCGCCCGGCGGACCCATCGCGATCCCTCACTGTGCGCTTGAGGATGACGAGTACAAGGGTTACCATATACCGAAAGGTGCCATGGTTATCCCAAACGTTTGGAGTATCAATCGCGACAGCGCGCTGTATGGACATGATGCATACACCTTCGCCCCGGAGCGACACTTAGACGCGCAAGGGCGCCTATCTGGTCGACTTGGCGAGGGCACTCACGGAGAAGGGCATTCCGTGTATGGTTTCGGGCGGCGGATCTGCGTGGGGCGAAATTGGTCGAACGACGCGTTGTTCATAATTGTCGCCACGAGCCTATGGGCCATGATCTTCGAGCCGGTCAAGGGCCGCGAGCCTGACGTGAACTCGGTTATCGAAGAGGGTAACATCGTGTATGTATACGTTTATCCTTCATGTCGCTCAGGTCTGCTGACAATCTAACAAGGTCACCCGCACCAGGATATGCGATAGCGGTCCGGGCAAGGTTCCTTGAGGCAAGATGGCTGCTCGCACAAGAACGGGAGCGACGCGGAGAGGAGCTCTCCTGAAGAGGAATATTTGCGGCATGTCCGGGACAGACTTGTTGATACCTGTTGTGTACGGAGCTAGATAACATCATGTGCGCGTATTTACTACACAGCTCGTTCGTAGCCTGAGAACTCTGCGCTCACCGAGTCTAGAATACCGAGGCGCGCAAGTCTCCTGACCGCGTAACGGATTTTACGTTTTAACGTTCGGGGTCAGGTGGCTGTTCTGATCGACGTAAACTTTGAGGGCGGCGGATGGCGGCGTGGCGCGGCCGAGCTGCCGCGCGCGTCGCAGGCGCGAATGGCCAACTCTGAAGTGCCCTTTGACGACGACGGGGAGTACCGGGACGCCCACGGACATTGAAATCCATAGCTACTGCTCGAACGTGCTCCGCCATCTCAGTCACTCAACGCACGTGTACTCGCCTCCTTGGAACGTGGTGGGGTCTTACTGGCGGGTGGATATTGGATGCTCTGCCATAAACTCGCTCTCCGCACTCTTCATAAAGCTGCCATCTCACGTTCGCACCCCCTTCGCATCTTGCCACCCACCCGCCACCTTCGCTTTCTATCTCGCTCTACTCGTTCTGCAATGACCGTCACGACCGCCCTTCCTGGTACATTGTCTCACTCTCAATACTCTGCTCCACATACTAATTGTGCCACACAGAGTGCTGGGGTCACCGCGGCGTAAGTGTCCAGCGCGCCGGAGAGTCAAGGCACATGTGCTGACCGCATGTTGTTTGATAGGCATCTGCCGCGTATCCCGAGAATACGCTCGCCAGCTTTGAAGCCGCCATGCGCGACGGTTCCGAGGGCATCGAGAGTGGTATTTCATCTTCACCTTGAAGCGCTCGCCCCGCAAGGGTCGTAACCGCTTTGCAGACGTCCATGTCTCGCTCGACGACGTTGTTATCATGTTCCACGACCCGAGTGCGTTCCGCCCTATCCGCTTCCTCCCGTTCCATCAGACTGACGTGCTGGGCACCATCTGCCCTTGTCTATTTCCAGATCTTGAACGTACCACCGACGGCAAAGGTACGCCTGCTATATCGGTCTGTAAGGTTCTGCGAAGTCTAATGACCGGCGGCAGGTGTTATCCGCGAACGTGTTTGGTTCGGTGAGGACGGCATGGAGAAAGTTCGCACCTTGAAGGAACCGCGTCAAGCGATACCGACCTTCGCGCAAACAGTCGACTTGCTGATGAAGGTATGCTGCGCTCGTGCCGCATGATAACGATCCTCCCTCACCGTGTATCAACTATAGCCCGAGAATCTCCACATCAAGTTCAACGTTGATGTCAAGGTCTTCAACGACCCGACGCGCCTCTTCACGCTACTCCATAAGACCATATCCTCACATGAGGGTTGGGAGGAGAAGCTGGCACCTCGCATCTTGCTTGGTCTCTGGCATCCGAAGTTTGTCGTTCCCGCCCAGGAGATACTGCCGTACTGCAGGCGCTCGCACATCGGTGCAAGCTCTGAGATCGCAAACAAGTACTTCTTCGACGGCGTCGATGCATTCTCAATGTGGTTCCCCGCGCTGTGTACGCCGGAGGGCCAGCGCTTCGTCCGCCACGCCAAGGCCAAGGGCAAGCAGGTCATGGTTTGGACGGTCAACGACAAGTCGGAGATGATGGAGGTCAGCATGGTCTTCATGTTATGACACGGCCAAGTTGACTCATGCATCACCGCAGGCTGCACGCATGGGCGTTGACGCCATCTTGACGGATGTGCCCAAGGTGTGGCTGAAACTTCGCGAGGAGTTGCAGTCTGACTACCTCTCCACGGATCGCGCGCATTCACGCCTGTTCTTGTGGTCTTCGCTGCGGTACTATTCGGCTTACCAGACCGCGATGATGTGGGCGATGGAGCGCAAGCTACAGTCTGTTGCTGGCACCTTCGATGTTCCCAGCGGCGCGTCGGTGAAGGTTGCATAGATCGTCGACCCCACCCCATTCACATTCTACTCCCCTCGCTTTTGTTCCACCTCGCATGATTCGCATGATAGACAGACATCGTTCGCATAGTTTAGGGATAGCAGAGCCCGATGGTACCGACATAATAGAGGTCTCCTACTGCGTAATGGAGACAAGAAATACAAGATTGCCGTCATGTCTTGGATATACTAGAGGTTGTTCTGGACTGCCCGCGTAAGCTGGATGGTGAGAGTACATCATGGTCGTAGCGCGATGAAGGACGCGAGGAAGGCGTCGCGGCCGTGTGAACGTGGTTATAGATGGCCGCGAGTTAGAGCCGCAGCTTCCGTCCGACTTGCTCGACCAACACATCCTCGGGTCGGCAGAAAGAGTATCGGCAGTGCGAGATGTCGGCGTTCTCTCGTATGCAGCTCGCTGCTGCTCTCATCGGTGCGTTTCTGTCCCGATTGAGATAAGTGGTTCGTCCGGCTGAACGTTGTATGGGGCAGAGTACGACAACGACGCAACGGACCCGGACAAGCCGTTTCGTTCTGCGCAGGAGAGTGCGATATTTGCGCCTGCCCGCAACTCGCGGCTGGGGCCATACCCGCCGCGCCGGAATTCGAATTATCTGGGAGTGAACCTGCCGAGCGAGGGCGGGAGCCAGAGCCCGCGCGGGACGCAGCTCGACGGACAGCATGGGCGGGCCCCGAGCTCGCTGTCTGGACTGATGGTGACGAATCCGTTTGGGAAGGGCGCGGACGACGAGATGGAGGGCGAGGAAGTCCCTGCGCCGGCGGAGGATCTCGAGGTTGACCTCGCGTCCTGGGGGCTCGACTCGTTCATTCCGAAGGACAAGGAAAAGGCGAGGAAGAAGAAGGGCAAGGGAAAGGCCCGCGAGGTCGAGCTGCCCAACCCGCACGACGGCCCCTCCCGCCCCGCGTCCCGCGCAGCCAGCGTCGACCTGAACAATCTGGGCGCAGGCGGCGCCTTTCTCGATTCAGCCTCAACCGCGCCGCCGCCCAGCATCGGCCCGCATCGACGCTCTGCGTCCTCCGCCCTGGAACTGGGTGGCGCCCCGCTCGAACATGCCGCTCTACCTCCCCGCGCGCACTCTCTCTATCTCGATTCCTTGTCCGCAGCGCCAGAACCTCCGTTGCATTCTGTCCCATTCCCTGCTCAGTCTGTCCGATCAGCTTCCCCGGGTCCCAGTGTGAACTTGGGCGCTGCTCGCGGACATGGTCGCGCACACTCCACAGCCAGCTGGAACTCCAAGCTTATGCTCGATCATATCGAAGAGAGCAGACCAAATCCATTCGAGCTGGAGCCCCCATCGCCCACCCGAACATCTCGCTTCGACCCCAAAGCCGGCCGCTCACGCGCAGGCTCTATCGGCAGTATGGGCTCCCGCGCTCTACTCAACGAGGCCGAGACCGATACGTTCTCCATACGCCCTCCTTCGCCTTCACGCTCCTCTCGCTTCGATCCCAAGAGCCGCTTTCGCGTCATGTCCCAAGCTTCTTTCGGCTCTCGCATCATGCTCGAAGACAACATGTCCGTAATGACGGGCGCTCCAAGTCAGCATCCTGACCGCCCCGTGTCCACTATGGAACTCTTGCGTCCAAAGGTCCTCGTCATGCCCAGTCCGCTGCAGGGTGCACCAGCTCCGAAAGGACCTCCCTCGGCCTTCACCATGCGCGAAGGCTTCGAGCTTCGCGTTGCGCAAGATGGGACACCTCTTCCCCCAGGTGCTCGTGCCGAACCTCATGGCATGCTCACTGCCGCGGGCTCGGCCCCCACAATCGCTTCCAATTCATTCACACCCAACCCTCGCGCGAACCTCTCCTTGTCGCAGCTCATCTTCCGGAATCAGCTCATGGTGGACGGACAGCGCGATGTCGCGTACGCAGACATAGACCAAGGATTGGAGCGTGCGACGGAGGACGGGCAGCAAATCGTACTCCCGGAGGACGAAGAGGAGCCCGCCCGTCCTGTGAGCGTGATTGTGGATGATTTCGCGCGCCCGGCGGGGAAACTGTACGGACGCAGCTTGATCGACGAACTGGAGTCGCGCAAGGCTACGACCCGCAACAAGCAACGGTGAGCATCAGCTCATTTCATCGTGTGTACCGACGATACTTATGCACGCGTCAATAGAGTATACTATGGTGACGACAGGCCGTCCATGATGACTAGAGCTTCGTCTGGCAGAATCAGCACATTGATTGACCCCGCTACACTCACTCAGCCACCCACACTTGGCGGCGTCCCGAGCCCTCCGGCCAATCTCCAACGACAAAGCTCCTTCGGTCTCAAGCCATTGGTCGACCTCGGCGACAATGCGCCGCTTGCACCGCCACCGCGTCCCGGACAGATGACGCGCTCGGTGTTCGGCACGGACAAGTTATGGGAGAGGGAGATGGCGAAGTTGAAGGAGATTGAGGCTGCTGAGGCGGTGGAAAGGGCGGAGAGGGAAGCCAGAGAAGCGGTCGAGGCTGAGAAGAAGCAGAAGAAGAGGAAGAAGAAGGGCAAAAAGGGTCAGGAAGACGAGTCGCTCGCTCCCGCACCCTCTGCAGAGTCGTTTGCGGCGACTGGCGAAGAAGAGGCAGAGCCGCGGGTGTCCATCGCACCGCCTGTTCTTCCAGACATTCCTCGTAACATCACGCGTGGACCTCCACCTCCTCCAGGCGACGACGACGAAGAGGAAGAATCGGATAGCGACAGCGATGATGGTCCTCGACCCTCGAATGCCGCGCAGCAGACCTGGTTCGCCGGCTCGTCTGACGATGGCAAGGAGGCCAGCGGACCTGTACGTACAGTAGGCGTTGGTCTTCGCTATCCGAACCGCGCCCGAGGTGCTCGCCCGTCTGGCGCAGCGAGCGATGAAGATGATAGCGAAGAGGATATGCCCCTCGTCGCGACCGTGTCTCGCGCTAAGCAACGCGCAACGCGCCTCGCAGGAGACGAAGACGACTCTGATGAGGATGCGCCCTTGACGCAGGTCCTGGCGAAGAGGGCTGGCTCCGGTCCTGCGCCCGTGCCTAGCAGCTCATTCAACATCGATTTCGACAACCTGGCTTCTTCCAAGCCGGCGGCGACGAACGCCGATTCGGACGACGAAGATGACAAGCCGCTCGGACTGCGTGCCTCGCGCATACCCCGCGGCTCGGACGATGAAGACGACGTGCCGCTCGGCATGCACCCGGACCAACAGCGCCGAACGCAGTATGCGGCGCTCGTTCAGCAGCAGCAGACGGCGCAGCAGCAGCAGATGCTCATGCAGCAGATGCAGATGCAGCAGAGCATGATGTTCTCCAACCCGAGCCTCATGGGTTCCGGTTTCTTCGCGCCGCCAGCCATGATGACCCCCGCCATGAATATGAACCCTATGGGCATGTCGATGATGCCTATGGCGCCGCCGCCGTCTGGCAGTCCGCCACCCATACAGGACTCGAATAAGATCAACTTCGTTGATCAGTGGAGGAAGAACATCGCTGTCGACAGCCAGAGCTGAACAGTGTATAAACGGCATTCTTCATATCTTTACCGGATTTCATAGTGGATACGTGGACTCTTACCCGTCTGTGGCTTCGTTATTTCTTATCATCTCTTCTGGATACCTTACGCAACATCATACTGCACGCAATTCTCATACCTTGATTCTGATTTCTGTCTGACAGTTGCCTAATCGTAGGCTTAAAGCTTGTATCGAATGCTCGCGCCCAATGCTCACTTACAGTGCCGATTAGAGGCGTGAATATGGTTGTTTCCATGGCTCACTGGATACCGTGTAGCATGTACTACTAGTTACGATCCTACGACGCGAGCACGCGACTTCGAATTCAACCACGCGTGGAAACGCGTCGAGTGCCTTCGACTACGACCACCATCATGACGGATTCGCGCAAACCGAGGGCAAGGCCACTCTCTGTTGATACTTCATCTGAACGCCCTCTCTCATCAGGGTCCTCTCGGCCCTCCACGAGCAGTCTGAGGCCACCGTCCAGCGCCGGTTTCTCTAGACCTCCGTCAAGTCTCGCATCCCCTCGGCCTCCTTCCAGCGCCTCTTTACGCCCTCCATCTAGCGCCTCGACAAATCGACCTTCTTCAGTTGCATCTTTCAGGCCTATATCTCAAGCCTCCCATCGTCCTGCATCCCGATTTTCGTATCGGCCGGTGCGGCAAGCATCGCGCCTATATTCCTTGACTGAACAGCTCGTATCGCAAGTCACTGGGATGACAGGCGAGGTGGCTGACGAGGATGACTTTGCTACTACCGTGGACCACGTGGCGAAGAACTTGGATCAAGGAGCTGGCCCAAGCATAGGCCTGGACAAGATGGATGCGCGTATACGAGGGTTCGATCTTATATTCGCACCTGTCGTTCATTGGCTTACATGTGAAACCAGGTTGGCTCAGAAAGCCAGGATACGACTTCAAGATGCGTGGGCTGAGGCATTGGAAGCGTCGTACTCCACGCTCAAGTCGTATATGCGCAAGACCAAGGACTTGGACCAGGATATCACAGTGCGTCCGCTACTCTATCATACTGTTTAGCGCGATTGATGCACTGTAGCCCAGTCGTCTTCCGGAACACCTACAACTTCTAGTAAGTCATCGCGTGCATGCTCGATGTGTGAATCGAGGGGTGTTGACGGAGTTGTAGATCATGTTGTCCTCGCCTCCTGATTCATCTGTAGCCAGAAATTACCTACATAAACTGGCACATCCGGAGAAAACTGCTGCTGGGCTCACTTGGAAGGATATTCTGGACGAAGAACCGTTTGCAGGGCAGCACTGGGAAGGTGTCTATGGGTTACCTCCGGGAAGTACGGTGGAGGGTTGGGAAACCATGAGCATCGAGAGCACGCCGCCACTTTCACCCTTGAGCTATCTGGACGACCGCTCTGTATCACCCGTGCCGCTCGATCTCGCTGGGGATATCGAGGCCTGCGAAATGACGCCCGCCTACATCTCCCTAGAGCCTAGTAAACACTCTCCCTCTCAACTGCTCTTCGATCATCGACGAGATGTCGAGGTGCTGCAAGCTAAGCAATACTGGCGGAAGGACTGGCACATGGACGTCCCTCTAGCGAAGTCGTTCAACCCTAGCATCCCATCGTCTTTAGGTTTGTACTTCCGTCTACGTGTGCATAATCCTTCCTTACCATTTACAGGGCCTTCTATGATGCACGCCATGCGTGAACAGTCGTCTTCAAGACCGGTAAGCACTTCCTCGAGATTCTGCTTCGAGATGTATCTGACTTGCGAAAGACATACATACACGAGCATGACGCCACACGTGAGATTCTCATGGGACTTCAAGGCCATCGAAATATGCTCGTCCAGTGGACGCATGTATCTGGCATGTGTTTCTCGTTTCAGGTTAGTGATAGGCAATGCATGATCGTCACTTGTATGCTTAATGTATCGTAGCCGATACCTGAATTCCCGCGGATGCTTCATGTGACGCTTGGAACGCAGAAGTCCCTGCTCTCTCGGTTCTGCGAGATCGCCACCACCCTCGAGCACCTGAGAAAGTTCGTCGCGGCCGTGTATACTTCCATCAACAAGACACCTCCCGCGTCATCTGTTTCGCGTTTCGGTCTCAATCAACGCATCACGCGAGTCGTTGAAGCTTCCACCGAAGCCGTCGCTGCAGAAGTACAGATCTTTGATCAATGGTGCGCATCGCGCGAGCAAGCCCTCATACGATCCGCCGCTGGAGCTGGCGGCGATGGCGATCTTGTCGCCACATTTCTATCTGTGGAGAAGGCCATACGTGACAGGTTCTCTCGCAGTTTTGATGCTCTCCTCGAGTGTCTCCGCCTGGTTATGCGCTCAGCGTCTCGCCCTCAAGACCGCGAAGCCGAGATTTGGGTGTTGATGGAGTTACCGGGCGCGATACCTGCATCTCAGGTGTCCAGCAGTCTTCTAAACGTCCTACTCGACTCTGCTCAACGCAGCCTTGTAATGGGAGACCCCGTGACACATGAAGTTCTCATGAAGGTCTTTGTTGCTAGTGCGCGTCCACTCTGGTCTATGACTTGGCGCTGGATACGCGAGGGGATGCCATTTGAGAGTGGCACCGAGAAACGCACTACCTCCGCCCTAGACCCCGAGTTCTTCGTGGAAGACCACGAACTTTCTTTATACGACCCAGATTTCTGGGCGGAAAGTTTCGCTCTCAGAGGCCTCGACGACGAGGACACCGCGCGAATGCTCCCAAACTTCATCCGACCGATCGCTCCGCACATCCTCGCTGCGGGCAAGGCAGTGGGGCTGACTCGCGCTCTGGGCGCACCAGCCGACCACGAAGACGAGGACTACAGCTGGCCCAGTTTATCCACGATTGTCAACGCTGCAATTGCACCACGGATGCACGCTACTGAGGATCTGGCCCGGCTCGTGCATGAAAGGGTCCTGCCGATCTGCCTTGTAAGAGAAACCCGCCTCGCCGCCGTCATCACCCAGGAGTGCGAGTTTGTGTATCACCTGTCCGCGATACAGGACGTCTACACGATGAAGCGCGGGGACATTGCTTCGACCTTCTGTGAGGTTTTATTTGCGAAGGTGCTGTGGACAATACCCGCAAACTCTCCTCTTATTGATGCATAGCATAGATGGACACCAGTCAGAGCTGGACGGACTATCACTTTCTGAATAGCAGTCTGCGACAGATCATCGAAGGAAGCGCTGCGGGTGACGTTCCCGCCTCGGCCCTTCGGCTCACCTACTCCGGGCGGCGGCACTCCGAAGTGCGATCTTCCGCTGCATTGAACGGCCTTCGGCTCGAATACACCGCCCCTTTCCCTCTCACTTACGTGTTCGGACCCGATGCTATGAGAATGTATAACTCCATCTTTATTCTGCTATTGCAAATACGCCACTCGAAACGTGCCCTGGAGAGGGCATTGGTCCGCTCGAGTAATCCCAATATCGTGCAGCGCGCCGAGGGCATGAAGATCTTCTACGCTCTTCGAAGCAGGCTGTCATGGTTCATCGGGTAGGTCATAGTCGTACTTGGAGGCACTATACTGACCACTCGGAAGCGGGTTATTCGATCACGTCACGACCTACGTATGCATTGTTGGATCATGATAAGCATATACGACAGTGACTGACGTTCGCTTCGTTGCAGGTGCTGCAAACCGAAGCTATCGTTCTGGAAAAAGCACGCCAAGCTGCTCAGTCTCTGGACGATCTTATTGCCGTTCATCACGACCAGTGAGCACACCTTTAATTGACCTCGTGAATGCGATATTGACCATTTTGATAGCCTGACTAGAGTCCTGTCGCGTTGCTTTCTGGACGACAAAGTACGTCCCACGGAGTTGCTGTGCTCATACGTCACCTGAGGGATCCTTTCGTTTCAAGACCCCGAACCTAAAGGCGATGATTATGGCTATCTTGGACATCTGTCTGCAGTTCGGCGATACGTTTGTCGCGTTTGCGGGGGATACGACCTATGACAGCCGTCGACCGCATTTCTCTACGCACAAGCACCGTAGTCGTCGCGCAGCCCACTTACGACGCAATGTTGTTGGGTTTGAGCTTCCGCCGGCGGAGAGCGGCGACGACAGCTCGGAAGATGACCTCGAAGGGAGAGAAGCGGAAATGTCATACACCACTTCCGCCTCATTCGTCGATCTCGACTTCTTTGGACAGGTCGACCGCATGTCGCGTGAGCTGGATAGTCTTGTCCGTTCATTGAGGAAAGGAGTAGAGGCATTGGCGGGTGATACAACCGAAGCCGCATCCGCCTTCGGTATCTTCGCATTCACTCTAGAAGATTGGGATAGGTAGCATATACAGAGCACAAATATGTACATGCGAATGCGCTATTGGATAAAGGACTATTGAGACTGAGCAGATGGCCCTAATACAATACGTAGGGTGTCGCGCGTGAGGTCAAAGCCGGAAAGGCGTCCACCTTGGACAGCACGACCGTCCTTTTAGCGTGGGAAATGTAGCCTTTAATATAGCCTCTTGCGATCATGATTGCCACAAGACATTCCGCTTCGTCCAGATCGACATCCAGACCGGCCAGCCGTAACGCCGCATAGAAGAAGGAGACAGCTATCTGAGAGCTCTTCGAGGTCGCAACCCATCTACGACGAGTGTGATCAGCAGGCGAAACATTCGGATGAGAATGCTACGCACACACGACGGAACAAGCCGCGGATGCACAGTTCACGAGCCTTTTCAAGCATGAGGTACAGATTCAGATCAATAAGCGGACGCTCTAAGCGTACGAGCGCTTTGTCATAAGACTCGATATCCCCCTTGCGGATCGCAGTGAGGAATTGCGAGTATAAGTTCTCTAGAGCTGGATATGCGGTCAGAAGGGCCGCAGATGGCATATGTCCACGGAAGAGCCTCAGTGGTATGAGATAGGTCAGTATCATCCTACGAAGGCTGTCAGATTAGTATGTGAAAGGACATTGGCTTTCACACTGAAGGTTGTTGTGAGCCTCGGAATAACAAGCGTCGAAGGCTTGCGTCAGTTCCTTCTCAGCCTGAATGAGGTATCAGGTATGAGACATGATGAGGGTCTCACCACGGGCGCACCTCCGCATACCTCTCTTCGAGGAACGCGATCATACCCAAATAGTACTTGGAGGTGACCTGGTCCAGGCGCCGAATGAGCATGATGCTTTCGAGGAAGCTCGAGTACGAACCTGGTGTGGCTTGGGATAGTCACTGAGCGGGGGTAGATCTTTGTTAGCACCGAGTGCTCGCAAGACTGGCACAGAAAGCGATATCTTGCGAATCTGACACTAATTCAGTTCAGGTGGTCATAAACAGCCATGAGAAGCCACTCACCCGAAAGTAGCTCTTGAGGATGAGTCCTACGACACCATAAACACCCCATTTGCGAGAATTCTCGTATGGCGAATCCCTGGTATGTTGTCAAACAATGGATGGAATGGGTAGGAATACACGCCCACCTGTCCTGCAAGCACAGGGTGAATGCCCGCTGTATGACTCTGGACGCATCCTCCATTCGGGGTTCTGAAGAGTCGTCTTGATTTCGTATGTCAGCCTATAGCCGTGGTTAGGACGGAGTAGTCCACTGTGCTTGGGTCACGTACTTCATAGGCCAGGACTCGCAAGTCGCGTAGAATCGCCAGGAGCGTAGGCAGCGACCAGCCGTCGCTCTTTTGGAAGAAATTATAGAATGCACTGTGTGGGAGATGGGTCGCTATACACGTGCACGACAGGGAGGGTGCTCACTTCACCAGTGCCGCCTGCTCTTTATACGCCTCTCCGAACTGATCTCTCGAGTGGTGGTATGCGACGAGCACGTAGTGAATTGCGACCTCGTCCCATGGCGCCTCAATAAACCCGCGATATCTAGCAAACGATTTCGGCTGCGGTCACAGTTCAGCGCATATTGGGAGCCCAAGAGGACGCACCACGCACCGTTGGGTTGCGAAACTCGTCGGCCAGCGGCGAGGCGTGAGGACTGGATGGCCGTAACAAAAACGCGAGCTCGTTGCCTTCCCTCCTCGTGATCGTGTCAACGAGCTGTTCGAGGTATTTTGCAAACGTGACAGGCATTGTCAGCGGAGTGGCGTGCGGAGATGATGGTGGGTGAGATGTGCGCGGGCCCGCGCCGCCCGCGCTCGCTGCGAACAAAGATCGAGTTGGCGGTAACCACGACAGGATGACGCCAACGGATACATAGATATACTTAAGGGAGACTCGATGAGCGCTTGGGTCACCATCCTCTGCTCACGACCACCACCTCTCTACTCCATCATCGAAACATGGCCCTTCAGCCCTCCTTCCGCGCCTGCATCGTCGCCGGGTCACCCGCCGCGCCACACACCCTTGACATCTTCCGTGCGCGAGGCTCTGAAACATCAAGCGACCGAGACTACAGCTAACATCGCCACTAGTTGACTATGTTTGCCCGTTCAGGTGGATCACATCTCTTCCGGATCTACTTGCTCGAGGATCTGATGAACGGTCATGTAGCGGTAAGATGACGCGTGCCATCGACTCCGTCCTCAAGCCCCTGCTCGATGCCGGAGGTCAATACGAGGGCAAGGTCTGCACTCTATCTCATACATCGCGCGGGATTGTGCTGACGCCCATGATAGGTGAAGGTCATCTTCAGAAACCAGGTCCAGCCATGGCACGCATCCTCTACGTTCGTTCATGAAGCTGGGGTAGCGGTAAGACTGTGCTTCGCCGCGAGCTGTCGATATCCTCGATTACTCAAGTTCTTCCCTAGGTCGCCATGGTCGCTCCTCAGAAGTTCTGGCCTTTCACTGTTCTCGTCAGTGCTTTGCAAGGGACTCCAGGCTTATCACTGTCTGACAGACAATGCCCAGCTCATGAACAGACAAGAGGAGTTCTACGACATCCCATCCTCGAAGCTAACCCCTCTTCAGATCCGAGAGCAACTGGCGGATGTTGCTAGCAAGTCCGGTCTGGATGACGGCGAGCTCAAGGCTTTCAAGGATGCTCTTGTGCTTAAGAGCACGCCGAACGGCGGCACTAGTGTCACCGACGCTTTGAAGTATACCGGTATGTATCCGCCCAATTCGACGTGCCTGCACGCACTTAGAACTTTCAGTGAAATTCGCCCGTCAGAACAGCATCCATGTGTCCCCGGTACGTATTTTTGTTCAAATTGATACCTGAGCATCGCCTAATAATGACGCATTCAGACCGTTCTCTGGGACGGGCTGGTCGCAAACGAGATCTCTTCGTCATGGGGCGAGAAGGAATGGTCAGAGTTTCTTGCTGCGAAGGTCACTGTTTGAAGTATGAGTGCCGAACGAAGTATATAACTGTGTGTATTATACGAGGGAGTGGCCGCGCAGTGGTCTGACTAAACTCGTAATATGTCTTGTATGACTCTCCTCGCCGTTTGAGCGTTCGCTGTGCCATGACTCTGCTTCATGACTCTTCCGAGAATCTTATTGAGGACGTTCATATTGCCATCGCGGACCGCCTGCGATTCATTGGGCATTGCGGCTAGGACATCGCGACAAAGTTGCTCCAGAGAGTCATCTTCCAGGGCGATGAGCGATAGAGATTGCGCAAGTTCGGTCGCCGATGTTGTCGAAGGATTATCGAGCATGTGGCGAAGCAGAGTCTTCCCAGTGTTGCCTAATGCCTATTCAGCGGATGCGAGCAGAAGGGGGTACAGAAGACCAACCAGTCAAGTTGCCCTGTTCAACTAGCTTGATGATTTCGCCCATCTGTGATGCAGTAACCGTGTTGTCGCCGAAACCCTTCCCACGCAGCGTGAGCTGGCCGAGGAGCTCATGTGTAAGCCTATAGAACCTCAGCACTGCATCGGACATATCAGAATGGGCGCTGCTGACCAGTTCACAACCGTCTTTGGATCATGGTCACGGGAGAGCTGATCAAAATAAGCAACAACCCCTTGTCCCAGTGACCCATCCACGCCCACGTCGCGCCCGGAGTCTACAGAAAGAAGTACGCCTGCATCTCGTTCGCTCAAGCCCAGTTTCAGGAGCCGCTCTCGAGTCTTGGATGGCAATTCAGGCATCTTTTCGCGAATCGACGTCAGATAATCCTGAATGGTGTTCAGTAGGGGCCAGTGCAGTTTGAGGAGAGCATCTCACCTTCGCCAAGACAAGAGGCGGAATGTTGGGATCGGGCATGTAACGATAATCGGGAGAGTCTTCCTTACTTCGAAGCTTGAAAGTCTCGTTCCGATCTTCGTGGAACCCCCGTGTTTCTTGTGCGACTGCTGTCCCGCCCTCCAGAAGAGCTATGTGCCGAAATACTTCTGAGGCTGCCGACAGTCAGCAATGATCTCAGCAACAGAACCGGAGAACTGACAGATAGCCACCATCATGAAGCGGACGCTATTCAAGTTCTTGATCTCACATCGCGTACCGGGCGCATCTCCGGGGCGGTTCACAGAGACGTTGACGTCGCACCGTAGAGAGCCTTGCTCCATATTCCCGTCGCTGGCGCCCACCGCACGAAGTAGAGATTGCAGGGTGCGAACATAGTCCGCGGCTTCTTCGGGCGACCTGGTAGCAAGTCAATGAGCAACCTCGGCAGAGAATATCTTCGTCCACTATGGCCTACCTCATATCTGGCTTCGAAACTATCTCCATGAGGCCTGTTCCCGCTCGATTCAAGTCAATGGAAGACATTCGTCTTCGTGGGTCGAAAGTTGTCTTTGCTGTGTCCTTGAAGAGGACGATGAGCATGCACTGATGAGTTGGCTAGCTGAAGAGCGTCTACCTGCTCCAATTGGATCTGTTCTATGCGAACAGGGAAACCAGATTGAGAGAGAATAAGCTGACCATTCTTCGCGATGGGACCTGGCAATTACTCTCCAGCAAAGATATCGCAAGGTGAGAGACCAACGCACTGTACCGCTGCGTTATCTGGTATCCAGTTGGCAAGTCGGAGTAGAAGTAATGTTTCCTGTCAAAGCGTGAAACGGACTTGACGTCCGCATCGAGTGCCATAGCCGTCCGTACTGCCAGCTCGACGCATTTAGGGTTCAAACGCTAGAACGCGTGTTGAGCGCTGAATGTTGCACACCAGAAGTCCCAGCTGCTTACCGGAAGTGTTCCGGGTATACCCGCGTCGAAATCAGATACATGGGTATTTGGCTCGTGATCGTACCCGGACGTGCAGGCGTCTCTTGTTCGTGTAAATATCGTAATATGTTGCGAAAGGGCACGCTCTTACCTGAGAACAGCTTGTGACGGGAGCGTAACTGCGCGTGGACTTCGATGCCGATGACCACTTCCCAGCCGGGCCATGTCTCTTGTCTCGTCGCGTGCGCATACCGCACACCTCGAGTGGTCAAACTGAGCTTTCTCAGTATGGGTCCATGACTGCCAGTCAGCATGGATGGTTCAATCCGGCCGTTGACCAGTGCCACGAATGTCGCGGTCACGGTTCGAACTCAAGACGCGTCGCGCGTCGAAGCGCGTCCCGTTAACGACTCTCGTGCACGCGTATGCACATGTCAGCCCATAGCCAAATTGGGGCATTCGCATTGCCCGCGGGTATATGTAGCGAAAAACTGGTTATGATCATTTATGAAGGCAGTAAGACAATAAAAATACATGCGCGAGACATCGAGAACAATATTAATATAGTACGCGTAGTAAGCAGTCTTCAATCTTCAAGAGAGGGTGAGGAAGCTACAAACATCAAATGTACCGTCATCGCAACCAGCGCAGTCTGGAAACAGCCTCTGAAAGCGAGTCTCTGTGAAAGGGTGAAATAGAAACCTCAAACGTGAGAAAAGAACTAAAAGAGTTGCCGTAAAACCATTCTTCACACTGGGGAGGGTCAGAAGGGGATCTCTGAGCCAGTGGCAACCACGACGTTCTCCCCGAAGGGCAGACTTGGCGACTTGATTGAGGCAGGATCTTGTACCGATGTCGCCGTTAAGATTGCGCGTCCGGTTGACGGTTGTTGACCAGGTGTAGGCGCGAGTATGGACATTGGTGCTTGGCCAGGGTTAACGACATGAGATGTTGGCGACGTAGATGTGGTAGAGTCCGGAAGCCTGAGCAGTTATGTTTAGCGCTCAAAGAATGGACGTAGAGTTCGCGCCGATCTGCCGTACCGAGGTCTCTTCGAGGCTGGCAAGTCGGCTGAGCCATTTAAGTCGCCATTCGCCTTGTAGGGGTGTGAGTATGCCTCGTGACGAGTGCAGGACACAGACAATCTTGTGAACCATTCTTGACGCACCTTGGAAGATTTCGGGCGCTTCTTAGATGGCTTGGGCTGACGTTCGCCATCGCCAAACACATAATCAGGAAGGGCGGAGCTGGAGAGCCTCGGTGAGCGGACCATTCTCCAATATGTTTGGGGATCGGGCGTACCTCTTGATATGCCTAACGTAGATGCCCATCTTGTTCTCTTCGTACTGGTCCCACATCTTGCACATCTTAGTGAACTCGCCCGTTGGCCATGAGATGTCCAGCTTCCTTGGCCCCGATGCCCCAGCTAAGTTAGAGGTAAGAAACTTGGGGTTCACGGTGGTGACGAACCTTACCAGGTTTCGCTTCAAGGGCGAGGCCGATGTAGAAAGTCGTAGTATAAACCAACTGTACACTTGGTTGGTCTTTGACATCTTCGGGCTTGCGTTTTTCGACGGTCTCGCTAATGTTTCCCATGCCTGTTGCCTTCACTTCGTCGTCCGATATGCAATAATATACCTTCTCGAAGCCCTTGACGAACGGATGAGAAAGCGCGAGTGCGTCAACGAACTCAAGCTTCATGACTAGTTGGCGTATCCTTGACTCGACCGTACCCTGCCTGTGGCGATATCAGTACCTCTAATAGAGGACCGCCGGACGTACGGCTCACCACTTGAGTTGAAGATCGGCAGATCCAGTCGACGCAACGATTTGAAGGTAATATCTGTACTTGTGGAAGAAGTCGTGCTTCTGGAAGAGTTGAGACCAGTCTGCCTTTCCGATGATGACCTTATCCACAACGTCGGCGCCTTTCTTGAACTCCTCGGTCATGATCATTTGCGTTGAAGCCGTGACGTTATGCGTTGCGCACATCGATGGGTAAGCCGGCGTGATGATCGGCATGCGGTGAGAGCGGTCGGCGGGATATAGCTGCATCAGGACGTCCTTCAGCAATACTCGTAGATAGATTGAGCGGCATTTACCTTCGGATTCCACACGCGAACAGGCAGCGGACCTTCCTCGATTTGTTTCAAGAGAACGGGTTGCGGCCAGGTCCTGAACAACGTCAGCCAGGCGTAGAGCAAACAAGGACCACACCGCACCATTGATACATGATGATGAAAAACCTGCTTACGATGGCGCCTGCAAGAGCGTTCGGATATAGTTGGCATATGCGCGCCACGAGCATCGCCCACGCCACACCGCCGAGGAAGCCATTGACATTCGAATATATAGCGCGTCCTGCCAACGATATGAAATGCTGAACATGCACGAGAATGGTGTGCGAACTGACGATTTGCCCATAGCTTGATGCATCGTAGGGCATCCCGAAAGACGGCAACGTTAGGAACCAGGCGAAGAATCTCGTCCGTGACGCGCGAACCTACAGGGGACGATCAGCGCCGACATCGAGACATAAGCTAGTCTCTGCGCACCATTCAGGCTACGGATAGTAGAATCATCAAGATGTCGGAGCAGATTGTCGTCTTGTAACGACAAGTCATCCGGGATTGTCGACAACTCAAGGCGCGCCATCAATAGGTCGAGGGGTATACCGGATATCTTGCATCCGATAATGGGCACAAAAGCCCCGGGAACTCCCTAGAATACGATATCAGCGCGCACATCAGGGTGCTGCAACTTCAACCGCTACTCACCGAAACCTCGACTACACCCTCCGTCTCACGAAGCATATGCTCGAAAATGTCGAAAAAGTCTTCACGAGTGACATGCTTCGGAACGACACAGAGCGTATCAATATCGGAGCCTGGTCCATGTACCCCTAATCGATATGAACCGAATGTAAAGATCTTGCCGCCTGCCGCCTCTGCTGTCGCATCCGTAAACCCACGCATGAGCGAGACCTTCTTGACGAAGGCTTTCACAAGACCCGCCACACGGCCAAGCACAATCTCTCTGCATTGCAATATGAGATTTAAATCCGATGAACATGAGTTATGATGTAGGTGAAAGTATAGTAAGGTGGGTAGTGTGTACATGTCATGTGTCGAGGAGCCACAAGGCGCATCAAGTCGGAGGTTCGTGACGCACCGTGTCTTCGCCTCCTCCTCGCTTTCGAATGTGTTCTGCCGCCGGAGCTCCTCCATCAGCGTTTGCGTTACTTCCTTTTCCCTTTGCGTGGATTCGTTTGTCGATATCGGCGGGGTGACGCCGAGATAGCTTCACACTATTTAAGTAGAGTTCGCTGCAATGACTTGACCAGCATACATACCGCGGCTTTCCGTTGTCCATAGCCATATTGTGGGGACCTTGTAGCATGAATTGGGAAGAGGGGACAAGACGGTCGTGGTGGTCGTGAGCAGAATGCAGTCAGCGCGCCTTGCGCGCTTCGACAAGCGGAAGGCGTGAGAACCTTCCGGCGGTGCGGGCCGGATCCTACATTCGTCTATCCTTCGCGCCTTTCGGGCGGATTGCCTTGAGTTTCTCAACCTTCTGTCGCTCATACGAATCCTGCTCATATTCGCGCGCCCGAGTCAGAGGTTCCTGATTCGCGTGCAGTACCGAGAGTAATGTGTCCCATACATGTTCTATGTAGCTAGCACTAGTCATAACAGTTCCGTAGTTCACAGCAGCAATACGCGAGTCCCGTGCCAGTCATCACTACAGAAACCCAGCGAAACCTCAACATGCGTGCCAGTTAGTATGTTCCAGAAGTGGCAGCCCTCCGTAGGGCCCTCCGACGTATGATCCAGGTAGAAGCGGCGATAACGAATACGCCCACGATGACTCCCACTGCGATACCAGCCTTCGCCCCGCCCGACAGGCCTCCACCTCCACCTCCGCCCGAACCGGCCGGTTGACTCGTCTGAGAAGACGATGCGGAGCCTGTGTCCGGTGGTATGGTGTCGTACGGCCAGAGTGCGCCGCTACTAGGGGCTTCGATACACGTTAACCCGTCGGCTCTGTCGACGGTGCTGAAATCCGACTGGATGGAGCTATCCGTGACATTCTGTGAGGCGACGACGAAGGAGGCGGATGTTGGTATTGTAAGGCCAACGGTACAATTTTCACTTGGTTCGCTGATAAAGGTTGTGTTGCCCCAAAGGCTACGATACCGGGTATGAGTATGGACCACGCAGAAACTAACAATCACACGTGCCTGTTGCCTTGGATGGTAAAATTGCGGGCACTGGTGACCGCCATGGCGTACCCGAACGCACCGGTGAAGTTGTTGTTGAGCACTGTCCCTGATGCCGACACGTTCTGGCCGAAGGCGTCTACGAAGTAACTTCGCGGGCCGACGGCGATGCCCACCCTAATTGAGCATGATCAGATAGGTCAGGGATAAACCAAGGTCGAGCGCGTACTTGAGTATGACACCGTTCGCGTTCGAACCCGTACGCGCCGACACACCGTCGATAGGCCCGTCTGCAAGGCCGCCGACGATGAGATTGTCCTGGACGACGGTACCGGAGTAGTCTCCGCCCCAGGGTTGGACATCAACCATGTTTACGCCGCCAAGCTGAGTGTTCTGCCCAGCAAAGCGTCAGACTGACGATGTCTTTTCGGGAAATGTGCAAGAGCCTACATTCAGGGCTTGGATAGTGTTATTCTGGACGAGTGAGCCCGGTGCACCGAACAAGACGACACCGCCATCCGTAGCTCCAGTAATCGTGTTGTTCGTAACCGTCGTATTGCGACATGAGACAGATATGCCATCTGCCCATTCCATGTACGTATCCGTCCCGCACGGCCCTATGTCGTTATTGCGTATGACAGCACTCGTGCATTGCAGAGTACCCTCGAAGATATGTAAACACGACCAGGACCGTGGATCGTAGGAGTGCACATATTCAACCAGCTGGTCAGAGTTGTCGCCGCCAATCTCAATGTTCGCGCCGCCACCCGTTGGTCCCGCATTCCCGCGCGTTCCATTGATCTGTCAGAGGGCAGCGTCAGACAACGACCGATCGCGCTTGACAGAACGAAGGCGAGGCACCTGAATGTTTCTGATGCGTATGCCAGAGCACGTCTCGCACGACCCTTGTATCGCGGTCGTATGTCCAGTACCGTTGAAAACAGGCCCGTTCACGATCAATGTCGCTCGCTCAGCCCCGGTGGGATAACCGGCCGTAGAGATTTCCTGATTCGGAAACGCGAAGTTGATGGGCGCTTCGATAATGTAGTCTGTATTCTGGCATAGCGATAGAACATATCCGTCGCCGGAAGAGTTGAGGGCGACATTCATGCGATCGGTGAGGGTATTCTGCGGGTCCGGGGATATGCAGTTTGAAGGGTCATCTTGGCGTCGAAAGTGTCTAAGAAAAGACCGTCAGCGAGGGCGCTAATCGGCTGCACAATGAAGCCTTGCTTACGCGGCAGAGAACGAGTGTGCAGATACCAGTAAAGGCGTGCCGAGGACAAGGACCGCAAGCAGAACCATCGAGCGCAGAGGAGGTCACCAGCAAAGCGTCCTGGCGCGCAGGTCTAGTCTGGGAGGCTAGTTTGAAGGGTATACGTATACCGTCGAGGCGGCAAAGCAACGAGGTCGTCGTGGTCCGCAGTAAAGGCGTCAAGCTTCAAGGGTGGGTCATGGGCGTAGCGCCAGCCACTGATAGATTCTTGCGGCTCTTTATCGCTGAGCGCTGAGCGTTTGTACCAAGAGGCACGATGGGCACGCCTTGGCGGCATGATCGGCGAGGCGCTGTCAACCCACCTCGACGGTCGATGTCGGAAAGAAGGCGCGCGGGGAAGTGAGAGCCTGGCGCCAGTGTCTCACGGTGGTCACAGGCCATGTGTCCTTCTCTCTCGTTTACATTTGCGCAAGATTCCACTTTTATATTCGGGTTTACGAGTCCAATTTGCGATTGTAGCGCGCGCGATCATCGGAGTCATCTTCTCAGGCTTCATGGTGGACTCCGAAATCCGCGGATGGCGTTCAATCCATCGAGCGATGTACACGTCCATGGCCACGCATGCTCAACGTTCAACAGCTTTCGGGCCGACTGCGTACATCATCGAGACAGGTTCAATAGCAGTAGTAGAGAGAAATGACGCGGGCGACCCTACACAGACATTCAGAGGGCACGACGTCGAGCTGGGGAACGCTCCCGTGCATAATCATCTTCCCTCTCGTAACGCCGTCGACCAGAACCCGGGTAGTCTGGAGTCCGAGAGCGCCTAGGCGGAGGAGACCGTGATCGATCTCGATCACCTCTGTCTCGTACAGGACTTCGACTCCGAGCACGGTCGTCCCTTCGGCGTCGAGGACTACCTGAGCGCCTCTCGTCTCGGTCTCGGTCCTCAGAGAGACCCCCAGTACCTAGGGACTGCAGCAAGGCCTCCACGCCCTTCAGAGTGTCCGTCCTCCCTGTACTCTTCTTCCCTTTTTCTTTCTTCTCCCTCTTCTTAGCCTTTCGTGCAGCTCTCTCCTCTGGCGTCTCGTCCTTGTGCTTGCCCTTTGCTTTCTTCTTCTTGGATATCTTCTTTTGATGCTGTTCACGCCATTGTTGTAGGAGGTAGTCGTACATGGGGTCTTCAGGGTCGATGTTGGGCACCGAAGACGCGTCAGAGTCGGAGCCAGCATCGTCTACACAGAGCATGAGCAATCTGGATAAGAAAATTATATGATGACAAGTACGCACCGTCAATGATCTCGGGCCTCGCGTTGAGGCTCTGCTCCTCTGCCTCGACCCACTCTCCGTCTGCGCCTTTGTGACCCTTTTGCTTGTAATCCTTGACGTGGTCGACGCGTAGAGTCCGCTCAAGCACTTTGGCACCGTTGAGATTATCAACGGCTAACACGGTTGAACGCTGGTCTTCATACATTAGAAAGGCAAAGCCGCGGGGCTTGCCGGTTTCTTTGTCGCGGGGCAGGTTGACGTCCATGACTTCGCCGTATCTGGCGCGGCAGAGTGAGCGGACAAGACGGGAAGGAATGGGCGAGAGACGCACTGTGAGAAAATAGTGATCACGTCGCCCTCCGTGAGCCCATAGTTCAAGCCGCCGATGAAGATGTACGCAGAGTCTGGACGTGTTTCAGCCGGTCAAGCCGGAGGAGGTGGGGTAGACGCGCACCTTTGTACTCGTCGTGCCATGAAGCGCCTTGGAGGGCGAGTTCGAGTTCGCGCTCGTTGATCTTGTTGATCTCCCGCACGACGCTGGGCCAGACGTGAGCGGCGTTTCCAACGGAAGCAGGGGAGAGCGCACTTCATGGTCACGGTCAGGGCTCAACGCGACTTGGACGCGTCGCGCGTAATAGTGAACGAGAGCGGCAATCGTCTCCCACGGTGCTCGATTCCAAGTTTTTGCGCGCCTCGGATGTGCTCGTCGTCGAAGACAGCCATGGCCTCTTTCTCGCTGCCGACGATCCACGACAGCCCAGACGGCGGGTGGGGTCCGTCCACGTCGAACCTGCCCGAGAACTTCAAATTCAAGGATATACCCTATGCGCCGTACTCGAAGACGGACAAGCTCGGCCGGTTCGCGGACTGGAACGACATCGCCGGGGACAATCGCCAGGGCCTGAACGCGAACCAGAACCAGCGCACGGGCGGCCGCAACCGGCGCGAGGGCACCCAGGCCTTTGGGAGCGGCGCGCCCAGTGCGTTCGCCTTCCAGGTCGAGGACGAGTCCAGCTTCTCCCTCGTCGACAACAAAACGAGCCAGCCCCGTCGCGGTGGCCCCTTCGCACGTGGACGCGGGACAGGCCGCGGCGGCGCGGCGTACAGCGCGCGCCAGCCTCAGCGCAACCAGCGCGGTGGTTTCAACAACGCCCGGGGCGGAGGCAACCAGCGCGGCGGCGCCAAGCGCGGCTGGCGTGACTGGGAGAAGGTACGCGTCTACCAGGCAAATATACAGGATCGTGCTCAGATCTCCACCACAGAACAACCGTACGCGCGAGTCCTCGGTCGCTATCGACCCAACCTGGCAGATGCTCGAGGAGATCGAGTTCCATCGCCTTGCCAAGCTCCGTCTCGAGGTCGACGAGCCCGAGAACGTGTACGTACTACATCTGTCCTGTTCAGACTCTCTATACTCAACTCTCGATAGTGGTTCTTTCGGTCGCTTGTACCCGTACAACAAGCAGTACGATCGAGTCACCACAAAGTCAGAGCGCCCTCTCGTACCTTTGGATCGCATCAAGTACAATACCACCACCTCAGACGACCCCGTCATCCAATCGGTATGTGTCTGTCATGGTTCCTTCCAGTACTCGGATGCTCACGTCTGGCTATAGCTTGCATCCGCCGATGTTGCTCAGGTCTACGCTACAGACGCCATCCTCAGTGTCCTCATGACCGCACCCCGAACGGTCAACCCATGGGACATTGTCATCGTTCGCGAGGGTAACAAGCTCTTTTTCGACAAGCGCGACGGCGGCCCCTTCGACACCGTCACCGTAAATGAGAATGCCGCAGACCCGCCACAAGACCCTCAACCTCCGAACCCGAACAACCCGACCGAGAAACCCGTGGAAGTGGCGTCTATCAACTCCGCAACGTCCCTCTCCCTCGAGGCCACCTACATCAACCAAAACTTTGCCTCTCAGACCGTATCGGAGAACCCGCCTCCGCCTGCCATCGACCTCGAGAAACCCAACCCCTTCTATGGCCCGGATGAGACGGAGCCGCTTGCGTCATGCGGATATCGCTACCGTGTTTGGGACATGGGCGTCACGGAGGACGAGGAGATGAGGATTTGTATCCGTACCGAGGTCGACGCGTACATGCCTGGTGCGAACGCGCAGTCAGGACAGGGTCTCACCACCATCCGCGCTCTGAACGAGTTCGACCCCCGTGCGCCGGGTGCCGGCGGTGCACCGGACTGGCGCCTCAAACTCGACTCGCAGCGCGGTGCTGTCGTCGCCACTGAGATGAAGAACAACAGCGCCAAGCTGTCCAAGTGGACTGTCCAGAGTATCCTCGCAGGCGCTGAGCAGCTCAAGATCGGGTATGTCTTTGAATACCGCTATCGCGTACCGTTTGAGGTTTGACACCGCCTGCGTTTGCAGATATGTGACGCGCGCGAACCCGCGCGACAACACGCGCCACACCATTCTCAGCACGACGTCCGTACGCCCAACAGACTTTGCTGCACAGCTTAACGTCTCGCTGGCCAATGGTTGGGGCATCGTGCGCACGGTCACCGATCTGTGCATGAAGATGCCAGAGGGCAAGTACGTCCTGATCAAGGACCCGAACAAGGTCAGTCTCTCCCCCTTCTCGCTCTCACTCCTTTTCGACTCATTTGACTCACGCGAACGCTGCACAGCCTGTCATCCGCCTCTACGCTGTGCCACTCAATGCGTTCACGGGAGATGATGAAGACGAGGATCTCGAAGGGTCCGATCTCGGCGAGGAGTAAACGTAGAGGAACCTTTACTGTAGCATGCTTTCTCACTACCGCCGTTTGCGCTTCTGTAACCGTGTACTGCGCCGACACCTCACTCTGTAGCATATGCATACGGGGCTAGCCTGTATGAAGGGGATGTTGTATGTACCGACTATCTCTCCCGAACTTCTCCTTGGTCTGCAGGTTTCAAGCCGCGTGAAGCAAAGTCTCGACGGCGCCCTGGGTATCCGAGCTGATGAAACATCGATCAATCAGACGAAGGCCCACAATAACGGTCGTGCTAGCGACAAAGACATACCTTCTCTGTAGAGCTCCCACAACGACATCCCTCTGCACGTTCGGGAACATACTCATCACCTGGCTGATCTCGGCCTCGGGTGGTACCCGAATCCCCGTCGAAGCCCTCTCGGTTCGACCGGTCAACTCGTTCACCCATTCACGCATCACGGATCTGCCAGACCCAGCGGCCGCTTCGGGAGTCGAAGCTGAAACTGCACTGGTGACTTCTGGAGAGGTTGATGCGGATGGCCGAGAACGGCGGGCTGTGGTGATTGGCTCTGGCTCAGCTTCCGAAGCTGCTGCTATCCGGGTAGGCTCATCTGGTAGGGCGCGGCCGTGGCGTTGTGGGGGGCGCATGTCACCTATGAGCGGTAGGAGGTATTTTGACGAGAGGCGCAGGAGAATAGGCGGAAGTCTGAAGCGTTTGAGGCTCACGACGTCCGAACGGTAGATCGCGCCGGTTAAGAGACCGATGAGAGCGAGTATGGTGCTAGACCATGGTTGGCTGATCGCCAGCTGATGATTCGAGACGTCAGCTTCCCCTTGCGAAAGTGCGATCAGCGACATAAACATACTTGCAACGCGAGGAGAGACGGGAAGATCCTGTCTGTCAGGATGACGCCAAAGAGAGAGAATCTATAGATCGAGGGAACCAGACGGTAGTACTGCCACGCGATGCTGAAGATTAAGGCTGTCGGACCGGGTGGGAAGCGGTTGAAGCCTGAGCTTCTGTGAAAGACGAGCACTGTTGTGAACTCGAGAATGGTGGAGACCAACATCGAGATCCAGAGATAGGACTTTAAAGGTTGAGTTTAAATCAGCTTTCACTCATCGAGAGACCATGAATGGAGATTTATCGCACGGCATATTTTGCGCTGCCAAAACTTCGTTCGACGCTCACACCGAGGTTATACAGTAGCAGTTCCCAGATGAAGAGTTCGCTGGAGTTCGCATAGATGAGATGATGGGTCAGTAGCCTCCAGTATTGATGGTCGCGAGCCAGATGAGGAACAAGCTGAGTGATGATAAGTGTCCATCCACCGTGTCTGTGGCATGAGACTTTACCTGAAGATGGAAGTGATGTTTGACATCAAAGATCGCGACCATGAGGCTCGCAAGTCCACCGGCGATCATGAGCCCTGTTCGTGGCGTCAGCAGGGTCTCTTTCCACTCCGGAATCGCCACACCTTTTGTCACGGGAGCATGTTGTAGCGACATAGTTGAGCTCTGAATATTGCGGAAGAGCACTCGCAGATGTGATGATGGTCGAGGACAAGAAAGCTGTTCGACGCGGCATCTGAGTGCCACGCAGTGCCACGTGGTCTGTATGGACGATATTGTACATTTTCCTGAATCCTGAAGCAGAACCATGATACAAGGCAGGTCGAATACTCTACATTCGTATGTAGCACGACATATTCATGGTAGAGGTACCCTCGTCTCGGATCGACACGCCATCATTCATCGGCGCCCTTTCAACAAACCCCACTGTAGGACTCTCAATTGCGCATACAAAACATCCAATCTGTACAGCGATATGTAAGCAAAAAAACCTGGCTCAACCACATGCGCTTACTTTGGCGTTCGCACTTCGTGTCTGCGTCCAGCGCGAACCACGCTACCGACGATGGGCTCCACTTCCATTGGGCGGCCTGCCTCAAGATCAACGAGCATGGATGGCTTGAATAGGCTCGGGTTCGAGTTACACGTGTCGCTATACTGCTGAAGACAGTTCTTCAGTACTGCTTCAGGCGCATCATCTGAAAGGTCTCCGACAGTGACACCTTCTGCGCGGGCCACGGCTATGACCTGCGAAGGACCTCGGTCAGGTGGGTCTTGCACGATATCACAGTACAGACCTCTTTCATCAGGTCTTGAAGGACAGGTAGCATAGATGGCAGCATCTCGGCAGAGAGTATAGATGCTACGGGGCTACGTGTCACCGTGCATACCGTAGAGATAGCAGCGTTCCTGTAAGATGGTCAGTCAATACGCAGTCTCCATGCCATATTGGACAATACTAACCAAAGTACTTTCTTCCACCGAGCAGCGACGATGTTATTCGTTATCTCACTGCCCACGCCACCCTTGACGAGGAGGGAGTGAAGGAGCTCAAGCGAGTATTGCCCCGCGGTGCTGGGATTCTCAATGTCCTTGACGTGAAGGCCTGAGGTGAGGCCATCCTGTAGGTTGGTAAGTCACATTAGTAAGCTACGAGTCGCCTTATGCATACCGGTCCTGTTTGAACGACCTTACGACCACCGTCAACCGCTGTGGCATCGCTCCACGAGCAGGATGAGATGATATCTGCGCCAGGGCAAGCTTCTTGCATATCCAGATGGATGTCGACACCGTTCTGTATGAGAACGAAGGTCGTCGTGGACGTGAGGAGTGGGGCGAGTAACTTCGACGTCCTGGTCACGTCGGGGAGTGCTCTGATAAAGCAAGCTTGATGTTAGCATAACCTCATTAGCACTTGTGGTCATCCGCTTGCTTAGTTACGCAGATAATGAATCTGTAGTCGCGATCTGCAGCCTCGGCCGGGTTTGCACAAACTACCAAATCCAGATGAGACTTGGTGAGAACGGTCCGATCCATGAACAAACGGACCCCGATGAGGCTTCCAGTGACAAGTTCCGAGACGATCGGAGACTACTTCCAATCCATATTCTACAGTGTTGCATGACTCTCAGGGATTCTCAGGTAACAGAGACGGCGAAGAGTTACATACGCGATACAACGGAGAAGTTCGACCTTCGTCCACAGGTCGCGTCAATATTTCGGAAAATACGTGATCACCACAAGGCACAGCCGTACCTGCAAACGGCAGTCACACGAGCTTCTCCCGAGCGCTCCAGTGCCAAAGCATAGAACGCGCCGATTGCTACACGGTGGGATCTGATTGAGTGTTTATGTGGGAATAAAAAGATGAAGCCGACCTCCTAGTCCGACGATACATATATCATGCATGCCTTTGGTCTTGTACCAGATATGTACGAGCCGGGTGTCTGGCAAGACTATTCACTGATGAAAGCAAGTCGAAAGTCGGGAACGATGGAGGTGGTGCCCAGGGTAGGGTTCGCGTGGCCTTCGCGTGGCAAGCATGATGCCCCTCAACGCTTGCTCCCGGTTCCCAGCCACGCCTTGCACAATAACTGCAACGAGCCTCCCGCGTGGACATATCTTGTCATGAGCCTTGCTTACCATTCTTTCGGTGATCATATGCTATGCATCCGAGAAACATGCAGAAGATATTCTCGTGACTTTCGGCTCGTACACCTCCATCTGCTCGGAGCATGCGGCTCGCGAAGAAATGTTCGAACTCCGAGAATGCACCTGCGGACTAGCTCCGGAGAAGTGTGCACATATGGACCATGGAAAGGGAGGGATCCTTCGTCCGGCCGCACAGGCCAGGCGGTATAGCTCCGTGCTCGGTCTTGGGTGCACTCCGTCTTCCAGTCGTCGTACCACAGACTTTCAAGCGCTCTGAATGAAGGGACTCTTGATCGATAGGACCTATCCCATGAGACGTCACATCCATCTCAGGGAGCCCGACGCAAATACATGAAGTCTCTCGATCCAGAAATCCAAGTTATATTCACAATCGGTGTGAGAGCCCGTTATCCCTCTTTGGTCAACGCTGTCCTTGTAAATTGCAGGACGCTCGCACGAAGCTCGCTCTCACGAACTGTCGAGACCTTTGTGTGGATTTGCGCTGCAAGCGGACCGATGTGCCGCTTGCACACCAGATCTGCCGCGGCCCTAAAGCCGTCGCCTCGTCAGTCGCGGGTCCGTCTAGACAGCTTCGGCCGCACGTACCTAAGCGAGTTCTATCAGCCTTCTCGAGGTCGTCCGAGCCGCTGTCTATGTGGTAAGAACGTCGACGTGCGCTTCCCTATAGAGTTTGAGTATGCTACGTCTGCAACTGCCCTCCTTCGGGTCTCTTCTGCCAACATGATGCGGTACCTATTGTGTATGCGGCCGCCGCGTTCACCGTAATGAGTACGACAGCGAATCCCTATCCTGCTCTCCTCGTCCAAGATCGCCGTATTGGTCTCCACGGTCTGGCTCGACCTTCAACTCGATGGCAGAGGAGCTGCAGCATGTGGACGCAGGCCGCCCAGCATGACGCATGCCCCAGTAACCTCTTCGCCAGCGCGCCCATGGGCCGAGAATCCCTCGAATGTGTAGACCATCTCATCTACGGCCTACAATCACGTATTGTATGCGCCCGACAGTGTCATTTTCCCCGTCGCTGCACTGCCACACATTCTGGGATCACAGGGACAGGGCGTGTCCAAGATATCTGAAGATGCGGTAGAAGGTGATACGCTATCTGGATGCCTCAAGGCCTCACCGGGCAGCTTTTTTCCCAAGCAGACGCTCTCTCGTCCCAAATTCGCGTAGGCAATCCTGATGCCCGTCGTGTCGCCACTGCACAGTGTCTGTTCACAGAGCTACCCGTCCCCGCACCGCCGCATCCCTGCCGTGCAACATATTTCCCCGAAGCGTACCCGCTTGCGGAGCTCAAGGGCGCCCTGGCGCGGCCAGTCAAGGTCGAGCCTTACTCGCACTCGCACACGCACGAGCTTCTTGACGTCCCTGTCGCGGCTTGACCTTGTATACACCCCCGTCTCACGCGCACACTTGTATAGAGGGTACACAATGGGTCTGCATCACGTCTCCGGCTCCGCGGAGGGCATCCCACCTGCCCGCGCAAGGGGATCTTCCCTTACTCTTTCAGTGTGCCCGGTCCAGAAGACCTTCTGGGTTGCCTGATTGCGTCGTCTCTTGACTGTTCGTTTCTTCCATGGACGATTACATGCGCAACGCGTCCCGGACGCGTGGGCGCACGTCGCCCATAGAGTCATACAACCCGTGCTTCTTCATTTTGGCTGTCAACGCTGTGGTGCGGGAGGCTGACAGAGCTTGTTCGACTGAATGTGAAGCGGGTTCCGCGTGAGGAGATCTGTGGCGAGAGATCTGGAGCGTGCATGCTTTCTTAGGTTGGTCTGCGTAGCGGCCACGCGGCCCGCTAGGACGCAAGGTGAAGGACCCTTACATGCTACAAACCCTGCTCGTCCTTCTCCTATACATCTTGGCCGTATGCGTCATCGCCACCTCCGCGCGTGATCATTGCGGCCGTTGTGCGCCCGTAAACGCAACCCGATGAGGAGAACATAGCCGTGCGCGCGTTCAGATCGGGCAAGTTGTGCGGGTGGTCATTGGTCCCCCTCGACATCAGCAAAGCCGTGTCCCGGCGGGTGGCGCGGCAGGACGCGGCGACCCTGCATCGCCGCCTGCTTGGGTGCGGCCCTCCCAAATGGAGCGGCTATAGTTGACCCAAGCGAGCGCTGGGGTCGCGCCCGCACAGCTTCGTTCACACCGAGGACGCTCGGTGGCTCTTGCCGTTGCATTCCGATACGAATTGGCGTTTCAGGTGTGCGTTCGAGAGTATAGGGGGAGCGGTTGGTCTGGGAGGAGGCGCGGCAAGTGGATTCGCGGGCGGGGCTGAGCTCGAGGACACGAGCCATGGACGATGTCGTGATACGTCGGCGGTGCGAGCTCGTGCGCGATTTCCGTGTGTCGCGCTCGTACTAACTCTATCGAGGCACACGAGATATAGTACGTCGTAAGACAGCGACGGGCCTCGGGCTTGCTGCGCCGGTCAAGGCGCTTGCGAGAGAGCGTGCCCTGCTTCTTACGCGTATCGAGGAAGGTTCGAAGTCCGGGGGCAGTCGGATGGCTAGTTCATTCGGTAATGAGAATTGGGCAAATGCATATCCGATATTTTGTATTCCGCGGCAATCTAGAGAGTAATAGTACAGGACGGATTATACAGAGTGGGCGTTACGGTGAATGTCGGGCTATCCGAGGAAGGTAAGTAAATAAAGATACTCGAACAACGTCGAGACCGGAGAGCGATGACAGGGGTTTAGATACATGTGCATGGCGCAGAGTACAAAGGGTCGAGCGCAAAACCGGCTGCGACACCGTTTTGAAGCCGGAAGAGATATAGATATAGCACGTAACCAAGCATGAGAGGTATGCAAGCAGACAGAGGGGGGTATCGCAGCCGTGAGCGTTCGTTATGTCAATGCAAAGTGTAAGAGAAAGCGGGCCTCAAGCAGTCATCACGCTCTTGCGCAAGAGTGACGGCCCGTGGCGACCGGGCGACGGGATGTCGGTCGAGACCGTCTGCCAGCCCGTCACCTCTGGGATGTCGGGTCGTGGCGCGAGCTGGGGCGAACCCAGGGGGGCAGGCGAGGAAGTGATCAGACCAGGCGAACCGGGCATCGATAGCGACGCTGCCGGAGACGAATAGTATTCAGGCTGCGAGAGGGAAAAGTCACCGCCGAGCCGCGGCGACTCGTGTAGAGCCAGGCCGGACATGTCGACGTTTGGGAGGCGTATACCGCCTTCGGGCAAGTGCGGAGACTGCGAATTGCGGTCTGCCGGAAGGGCGTACGAAGAAGGCGCAGGCGAGCTGTACGACGAAGACGGCAGAGAAGAGCCAGAAGAGCCGACCGAGACTGTGCAGTGGTGTCAGAATACATCGTTAGATCGCTGACGAAGTCACGTACGCGAGTCGTCCCAGTCGCTAGAGTTTTGCGAGGACATGGAGGCGCGGCGAACGATCGAGGGCATAGAAGCCTCGATGGCCTCAGCCTTGACGATGCCGCCCTTCTTCGCGGCCTTGCGCGCTTTGTTGCCATTGCGGAGCTCATCGAAACGGAGCGGTCGCGGGCGCAGGTGGGTGCGTTCGTACAAGCCACACTTGTTGCAGACGATCTTGCCCGGGTTAAGTGTCGAACGACGCCAACTGGGAGGCTCGGTCTGGGAGCAGTTGGTGCAGCGACGGCGCAAGTACTGCGTCTCCTTCGACGCGGCATCGTCCGTAAGCTGGACTGGGTGGGGCGGGTGCACGGGCATGGGCATGTGGTGCATGTGGTCCATCGAGTGCGACCGGTACATCATCTGGGGGGCGACCATGACCGACATCGGGTCCTCGAGCTTCACGCGCGGGTCGAGATCGTAGGGGCCCATCGAGTGGGAAAGGCCGGGCAGACTGGCGCGATGCTGGGGTTGCCTGTAGCCGTCGTGCGGGTAGAAGGGCTGCTGGGTGTACTGGACCAGATCGTCGCGCTCGGAACGGATGTACGGGTACGTCGCCCGGCGGACGGCGTTCATGTCTGGCTGGGTGAGTTGGGCGCGCTGAGGCATCGGGTATGGCTCGGCCATGTATTGTGGCTCCGCCTGAGGCAGGTCATGCTCGTACAGCTCGCCGAGGAGGGAACCCTGCTGGTGTGGCGCGTAGTGCTGGGGAGGCTGAGACCAGGCGGCAAAGGGCGCGATGCCGTGTTGATGGTAGTCGTCTTGCGCGGGCATCGAGTCGACGATGACCGGCTTGAGAGGCATGGACTGCTCGACGTCGAGCTTGAGGGAGTACGAGGCCGGGGACGCGGCGAGGAGGGAGGCGCGGGGCGAGGGCGTGCGAGGCCCCGAGGAGGCGTCGGAGGAGTAGGCGGTGTAGGCGTCGTAGTGCGCGTAGGACTCCATTGTGACTGGCAGAGGCGGTAGCGATGGCGAATATTTCGGGCCCTGCTATTTGAACTCATCTCCAGAGGCGAGAGCCCGTGTGTGCACAGCTCCCGAAGCCGTTTCTCCGCATGATCGCGGCGCCAGCCTGCCGGGTCCAAGCGGGAATTTCAAATTGACCATGGGAACAAAGGCACAGTACAGAACCGTGTCATCGTTCGCGCCAGCTTACATCCAGTGCATAGATGGCTCTGCCCTGTCGCCCTCTCAAAGACTCGCTTGCTGTCCACATCGCCTCAGACAACCTCGACATCGCCCGGCGTCAGGGAATGCAGCCCCTGCACCGACCCGCCAATTACCGTGTCCGTGCCCTTTCCGACCCGACAAGCAGGTCACTCGTTCCTCGCTCCCTCTCCCAAGAACTCTCTCCTGAAGCTCTCCACATGCTTCTTTTTGCATCTTTCCCTTTTGGGCCCACTCTCGCAACCGCGCCGTGACCGCATCTCGCCCACCCCGCTCTCCTCCCCCTCTCGAGCAAATCCTTATCGTACTCGAAACCACCAACTTGACATCCATTACTACACAGTCCACTTGTTCACTTTGAGTACAGATCGCCACGGGTCTACTCGCTCTCCTCATGCTTTTGCTCCTCTCTTCCCCCCTTACGTCTTTGTAGGCGCGTCCGGCCTTCACGGTGACTTCCTGTTTGTCTGTAAGGTCCACTTTGTAGTACGAGCGCTGGCCGTGCACTTCTGTGAACGTCCGGCCTTTCTCCTCTCCCCCGGCTTCAAGCCGACAAGAGCGGCCCTCCCTTTCGCTCCTTCGGAGCTCTTCTGGCCTGTCTTTTTCTTTTGTGTGTACAAGTGCCGGCAAGAACGCCCAATTCAATCCGTTCTCCCCGGCGCAAGCCTCGCGAGGAGCTCCATTTGCCGCTACGTGCTCACGTTCAGCGCTAGAACACTCTTTCGTCGCATCCTCCTAGTACACCGTGACGTACTTTATCTCGAGCCCGCTAACTCACGTCTGTCGCGGAATCCAAAGCCTTGAGTTTGTGCGGCGGCAAGGCTGAGCGTGCCCAGATGAACGTAGGCTTCTATGTCTACGTACCGCAACACTTCTCCGCCACAGCCGGGCTGAGCAGGCGGCGGTGGCTCTACTACCATCCTCGAGGATACGCGTGCCATACTCGTGACGTGCTTAGTCGTCTTGTCCCTAGAGTAATAAGCAAGTTGAAGTCATCAAGACCAGCACCACGACATGCTCCCAGATGCACAGCTTATGTCGGGATGCCACATTCGTTTTTTGGTAATTACTCCCTCCAGCTCGATAGACGCCCCGACGTACGCGCATAATTGGCCATGCCGCGCATCCGTGAGGCGATACGCTCACGCTCGAGACGCGCCGGCGCGCGGTGACAGGTAATATAATAGTGGATGCGGAGCGTCGCAGACCGGAGCACGATGTGCTACCGCGAGTGTATGAGGTCCAGGACAGGAAGAGCGATGGCACCTTGATGAGCCCGCACGCCTCTCACAGTAAGCTTCAAGCTTCCTTCGGCATCCAGTCCATGCGAATCCTTCGCTGTGGCACTGCAAGGCAACGAGTTGCGCTTATTATACATGCGCTCACACATATCTCACGTCTTTGCGGCGCGAAGCGCGCTATGGACCCGTCCCGAAGAGGCTGCTTCGCGCCCGCGAAGGGTAGGTCACTCGCCCGTGTGCTCGTTGTATTATGTTCCTCATTCGGCAGTCCTACCGAGCGCAAGATCCTTCTGTCCTGGTGGTGCTTACATGGCTAATCCAGTACGACATTCGGACGGGATACAACCCCGCCTTCACGTACGACGAGAGCGAGGGTATCGGTGCGCCCGCGGACATTATTCTCGACCTTCCCACGCTTCCGTCGGGGATGCGCGTTTCCCGTTCTACACGTGCGCGCGCGTACAGCTCGAGGCCCGCCGCGAAAGAGCCTGCAGCCTGTGGCCCTGGGCCCCATTTAGAAACTGTATGGTCGGAACAGCAGCAACGCAAGCACGTCGGTCGAGGCAGGTAGCGAGCACTCGCGAAGTCTAATCGGCCATCCGCGGCACACCCTCGATCTCCCGCGGCCTCGCGACTAAGAGCTAGCGCACCGAGGCGCACCGGTACCATCGGCGGCGCGAAGCGAGTCAGTCTATCGAGCCTCGATGCGCGTTCCGAGCCCAAGCTTCGTAGGAAGCTTCGACAAGCAATGCGTCGTTAACCCATGTATGCACGGAACCTGCGATGAGCGCTTGAGCACTTGACCTCAAGCATATCAGGCCTCGCTTATCGGTGTGGGTTCTGCGCATATCTCGTCAAGGCGCTAATCGAGATTCACGGGACAATGCGCAGCGTTCCCCGCACTTTGCGCTGTTACGTTCCTCCCTGCTGGGCTCGCGCGGTGTGACTGTGACCTGAGCTAGGCTTGCTCTACTGCTTTCTCCTTCGAAGGCGCTCGTCGACGCCGATATCGGCCTTGACTGTGAGCGACCTTGTCGCAGTAATTGCCTGGTCTTGAATCCGAAGCACGCGCGAATATAGACAGCTGACGAGGTTATCGCGCCGCGCACGTTGAGGATCGCTGTTCAACATGCTCTAGCTGATCACCCTCGGAAGCATCGAGCGCATAACTTGGCGGATCGACCATATCGGCGTGCTTCGGTCCGGCGGCAACATACACTCGAACTGCGAGCTCAACAAGATATCCCGCCTTCGACGTCATGCTCAATTTACCGGTTGATGCGCAACTCTACGACTTTGACTGCGAGATTCGACATTGTGAGGTTGTATAAGTCTGTTAATCACCGACGTTATTCAGTGTTCGTTATGAGTCTAGCTCGCGGCGCCGCGCGGGCGCCACCATCGAGGTCAACACCCGAGTTGGCAAGTCGAACTTCGAGGCGCGTCGCCTTGGAGAGCGTGAATGAAAGATTGGGTACTACTAAGAAGCCACAGCTAGGCAGGTTCAATTGAGGGTTGCCTTTTGGGGATGCGGGCTGGGTGCCGTGACTTCCGAGTCCTCTTACATACATCCGCCACCTCTTCTTGTCTCTCACCTGAAGGCCTCACATCAGCCACTGTGCCCAGCCCGTCTTCTCTTACAGGTACGTTGTGGTGTACAGTCCGATATCTGCGGCGCCCTCTCACATTCCCCAGTATGACCGGGCGTCGCAACGGCTCTCACCCACATCCTGTAACATGAAGGGCCGACCCGTAAAGCCGGATGGACATAGCTCGAGATCGTGTACTATCATTGGTTTCTGGTGCTTGAACATCTGAACATGCCCGCTTGCTGATTTCACCGTGCATCATTCGCTCCGGGAAAATCAACGTTGGTCCGCGACGTCCAGCCTCGCACGTTCTGTGTGTGATCATGATGCCAGCCCGCCGTCGACTCGCACGTCGCAGAACTAAGCAGCCTAGCAACCAAATGTTCGTCAATAAGGGATAGCTGAGTCCGACGGGACATCGTGGCTGTCAGGGTTGGCCGACGATCTATTGAGGTCTAGCGCCTTCCTCCATGTGCTTATTCATGCGGCGTGACTGAAACGTCAAAAGATAATGTCTATATGGACCCAGCAGCATGTGAGTTCCGATGCATTGCATTGCCATTTTAGGGTGGGCCGCACACCAGAACCAGACGCTCGCGACACACTCGAACGCGCAAAAATAACGCACTTCACTAGCTAATTCAACGTCCACTGGCCCGTTCGCAATCTTGTGTTCTTGCGACCCTCGAGTAGTCCGTATCCTGGTGCTCCACCTGGCTATGTGCGCAGTGTGACTTGAGTTGCGCCCTGTCTCGTCGGTTTATGTCGAGTCTTTGCTTGATGCATACATATATTTTGACGAGCTCCATCAGCTACTCACAAACACCTGGGACTTGTAGCTGTGATCTGCGTCGCAAGATACGGGTATCCTGCTGGGGCTGTCTACGAAGTTGCCTTTCCCTTCTATATATGTCAAAGGTTCGTGGTGGAGTGCGAGTCGGTGAGCGCGCGGGGCTCCATAAGCGTAGTTGTATTACAACAAAAGGACCTATCTTTACACCACATATGGGAGATCTATGGCTATACACCATACTGACAGGCTCCGCATGTCACACACCAGGCTTGCCTCGGCGCACTCTGAAACGGCGCACTGTCCATTGTGAATGGGAGAGAAGGCCGCAGAAGATCTTCCAGAATTGGGGCAACATGAGCATCTCAGCATCATACACACCATCACCGTTCATTTTGGCCCGCGCCGAGAACTCTGCAGAACACACGGCCCCGGCCATAGAAAAGCCCTTCATGGTAATCAGGATGTAGCATCCCTCTGCATCAAAAATGCTGTTCAGGCGCGCTAGTCCTACCACATCGGGGAAGTGTGTGCCACAACTCCACGACGCGCTTTGTGGCGTTCTCATGATATCTCCCCTACCGATCGAGCATACAATCGCCCTCCGTTATCGGCGAGCCATCGTCAGAAAATGCAAGAGCTAAGAGAGGCGCATCAGGGCCTGAAGGAGAGATGTTACGAGATACGTCCGTCGAGTATACACACCGAGAAAATGAATAGGCGACGTATCGACATCTCGAAGCTCTGATGATAACACTAAGGATCCTCTCCGATTCGTTCATCTAGCGGCATCGTGGGTGCACTTCGAGCAAGCAGAGGCCACTTGTTTCAATGAACGTGTCCGGTGCCTTCGACGCGCTTCTTTCCTTCGTGATGAACAACCAAGCTGTGTCGCGGGACTCCGCGGCGCGCTTCCTGTTCCTCGCCCCGTTCAAATCGCAGGCTTCCGGCCGCGGGCACGGTGGTGCATCGACCTATTGCAGCTGCGAATGGCCTCGGTGTTGGCACCGAGCCGCATCGGCCATTCTGGTCACTTGTCCCATTGACACTTAACAAATAAGGACGAGGGCATTGATATGAGCCGTTCCCGTGTCCATGCCGTCCATGGTCTACCGCTTGCGTCACGCATAGACGTTTTTCGTCAGGAGCAAACGGACTGGAAAGCCACCGCACCCTCAACACGTCTACGTCAGATCGAGTTCAGGAAGTCTCCTCTGGGGAGAGAGAGAACCGCAGGCAGATCTGAACCCGCAGGTCTCTGTTTGTTATCTCCACACCATTGAACTCTCGGCTGCGACGTCTCTGCGTCAAGCCCTCGCTCGCGATGAAGGTTGTATGCAAGAAACTCATTCTCTGCCATACAGTCTGGTTGCACGCGTGACTGGTTGCACGCGTGACGTAAGTCTGCCGTATGGTCAGCATGATGCGCTTAAACCGCCTTGTGGCGCGAATTGTCATACGTATACAGTACCAACTGTGCTGGCACGTCGCTTCCAATCACCGGAACACGGTGATAGTATGTCTATATCGATCCTCCGACATGAGCACGTACTGAAGTCCGCCGCGCTTCGATAAGATGGGAGTCTCAAGGGGCTGGCGCAAACTTTCGATGAAGTCGGTAAGGTGATCGCGTCGATCACGCTTGTACAGCGTCAGCGTCTGCCACGTTTCGAGCTTACGGTAAAACACAGGCGCACCTTGACATGGGAAAAGAAGCGGGCCTCTCTGGTCATGTGGTAGTACGATGACCCAGCGCTATGTTTGGTCAGCAAATGGGTAAAAGGACCGTGATGCATAGTTCAGCTAGTTCACCGGCAGCGAATCACATCTCTGGACAAAGATTGTCACGAGCAAGGAGCTTACGAGCGTTGTAGACCGTTGTCGTTGCAGCCGAGATTGGGTTTCGAACTAGAGATATGGTCTGCATGTTGAGTGAACAGAGCTGAAAGGGAGTATGACGCCTTCACACCAGGTCCCTTGTAGTGTACCGAGATATGTCATAGATTCCCTGATCTTGCAGCATTGACTTGCGTCCACCAAACAAGGGACATCGATCGTCACGAGTACTTGACACGCCGAGCCGTATACTGAGAATTCACTCTGCAATATTCGCAATTCGGGACTCTCCCCGTTTAGCAACCCCAGCAGCCTTGACTTCCAGGAGAGCGACCAGTAATGACCCTACCCAGCTTGGCATGAGCTAGCGAAGAGAACCGCGAGTCAATTCTGCCCTTTTATTCACAGTATGTGGCCGCATACACTTGTGAGCAACGACCATTGAATACATCCTACTCGACGACTACAAATTCGTCAGAGTCCCCGAGCTGTAGCGCTATGCTCCTGCAGGGGAGCTCTGTGAACGCGGCATCATGGAACGTTCGGCCAAGTAAGACGCACTTTGCAGAGTGGTATCTCGCCAAGGCGAGGGTAGGCTGATGCAGATTCACCGATTGATATGTTCCTCTGCGCTCGGTGCCGACCATGCTCGAACCTGTCAAGGACATGCAGAAGGTTACGGGTAACATCCTATTCACGCAGAGCTTGTCCGGCATCTCAATCGAAGAGAGCACACCGCAGATTGGAAATGGTCACGTAGGCAAGTTCTACGTGAGCTCTCCGGATATGACACGGGTTAGAGCGAACAAGACCGCAGCGATGAGCGTGAACAGCCTGCCAGTCGAGTGGTCAGAACACTGAAGGTAGCTTCGTAGATAGATCTGCTGATGCGGCGAGAAGATGCGGGTACAGCAGGATGAAGGACGTGGACGGCGATGGTGGCCGGAGAGAAGGCGGTGCCCAATATTGTAGGCGCCGCGCGGGCGCACAAGACTCGTGGAGCGTGGGTTTCGAGAGTGCGAAGTGAGGCAACCAAGGCTCGAGGCAGTCTGCGACTTGCCTCTCACCACCAAACCATTTCACCACGACTCGGTGAGCGCATTTGCCAGAGCTATGCGCTTGCTTTTGCCTACACTACAAGGATCATATCTCGGCTTACTAGCATTTCTGGCTACTCTTCCCCTCGGTCATGCCTCTCCCACGGAACCTATATTCACAGACTGCTTCGCCGGAAACGATTCGTTGAAGCTGTCTGTATCAACCGTATACGCGCAAATATCCGATAACAGCGCACTGGGTCACCATCTGAACTTGACCGTCATCGGAGAAACTCCGCAAAGCATCATTGGCCTGGCAAATGGCAGTCAAGCTCTCGGTACGTCAAATAACAACTTCCACCAGGTTTTCTGCCTCACGAATCGTGCAGCGACCCTGTTTACAACGACTGATGTCCTGACATTCAATGTCTGGACCAACAACTCGTACTTCTGCTCAAGCCTACGTCCTCCATCCCCGCTCTCATCCACCATCAATCAAACCGATTATTGTATACCTGCTGGCCCCTTTGCATTCTCATCGGCCATCCCGCTAAACGGTTCGAACCAACTGTTGACTCTACAGACACGCTTGAGAGCGGTCGACTCCTTGGGGAGCGAACTACTGTGTGTGGATGTGGACACGACCCCGCTACAGTCTCGGGAGCTCGATAGCGCATATGGTCTCGCCGGCATCATCCTCTGGGCCTCTATCGCTCTCGCAGTAGCGTACTGGTCAATCGTCGCGCTTGCTCGCCTTTCCTCTGCTTGGGGGAGGCGTGCGGGATGGTCGGGTCGCGGCACTTGGGCGCGAGTCGAAACGTTGGGATTCGTGGTCGCAAGTGCCGTGAGCGGCGAAGCGTTCGCGAAAACCCCCGCTCTTCTCCGCTTTGGTCAGTAATCAAATGCAGTCTCAATGTGTACCCACTGATCTCGCCTCAGTCACCCCTTCGATGCGCGACATCTTCTTTCATACACAATGGTGTGCGGCGGTGGGCATGGTGGCGGTACAATGGCCCCAGTTTGTTTGTTCGTTTGATTCACACACGTCTATGCCCTGATACTGATTCTTTTGTTAGATCCCTTACTTGTTCAAGCACGGTGGGCCACGTTATCGTATAGTTAGTGGGAATTAGAGTTCTTGCGCACAATGTACTCATCGGCCTGTTCGCAGACATCACCATCGCCCAACCCGCTTGGCGTCACTGGGACCCCATCACAGCTCCCACGTACACCCCGCCGTCCAACTTCGCCGACCAATTGGGGGACCAAAGCTCTCCTCTTTACATTGATGCCGATATCTCCAATTCGATCTATACTTTGCCTAGCAACACCACGGACGGAATAGCTTCATGGGCATACACCGCAGGTCTTTTCCCCCAAGACCTGTTCAGCATATGCATGTGCCTTTTCCTCGGCATTGTCGGTGGCACGATACTCTTCAGCCTATTCCTCTGGATAATCGACGGATCGGCTTCTTTCTTACGGAGCACGATGGAAGGACGTCCAACCGCAGCATACGATTTCAAGAGCCCTCGATACTCAGCTACTAGCAAAGATGTGCTTGACTCGTCAATGCCGCCGAACGAGCTCCCTGAGGACACGAAGTCTGCCAGCAGTCATTTCGCTCTACGATCCACTCCTAGGGCCGTTGCGATCCCGACCCGGCGTCGTTGGTCGCGGTTGTGGTTAGACTTCTTCAGCTCTTTCCACTTCAGTGTCCTGCATGGCAACCTTGTTCGCGTGCTCATGCTCTTCCATCTTCCAATCACCATCTTTTCGTCTTACCAGATGACAATGGACCGGTCGACGACATCGATGACGAGCATCGCTCTTGCCGGTCTCAGTTTCGCCGCCTTTTCAATCATCATTCCGGTATGCCTTGTCATACGCCTTTGGTTCACCTCGACGAACAAGCTTTACGATGAAACCCGAACACTCCTTTCGCTGGGACCTCTCTACAACCACTACCGCCATGGTTCCCAGCTCTATGCTAGTCTCTTCTTTATCACGAACTTCGCACTTGGCGTTACGATTGGATGCGGCCAGAAAAGCGGCACAGCGCAAGCGATTGTGATACTTGTCGTTGAGGTCTTCTCCGCGTTGTTCACCAGTGTCTGGCTGCCCTGGGGTCACGGCGCCAGCATGGGCCTCATTAGCTTTCTTTTCTGCGTAGCTCGCATCGTCATCGCCGTTCTGCTGGTGACTTTGACACCAACGGTACGTGCGAAAGACTGCACACTCAATTCATCCTACTGACGTACGGCAGGTCTCCATCGGCGGCGAGGCAGGGCAATGGGTATCCTATGTGATCCTATTCATCCTCGGGCTTGTCTATCTCAGCTTTGTCGTCATGCTTGCATGCAAGCTTATCGAGGCTATCGTCCGCATAGTCACGCAGACCGGCTTCAACAGGAGTAGGCACACCGCCGACAGTGGACTAGTGGGCGCCTGTGCTCTCGCTGGTTGTTGCGGATCGCGCAAGCGGCGGCGGCGTCACCGCTCGAAGCAGTCCGACATCCCGCTTGCTATCCCGAGCTCACAAACGTCTTCCGCCGTCCAACGCAAGAACGAATCTGTCTCTACTCCTGTAGGCGGCCCTCCGTCTGTTCTGCGACCAGAGCATGCGTTGCGTCCATACAGGGAAGACACAGACGACGAAAGCGGCTTTATCATGAGCTCTTGGCATAAGCCAGGCTATGAGGCTGTGCCGAACGACGTGGGCTCACCTCGCGTAGATTCGCCAACTCCTAAGCCCTCGTCGGGCTTTGCGCGAGTGGGTGGCGGCCGTGCACACTTTGATACGCCGTACAATGCTATCGCCTCCAACAATCACTCCACCCAAACTTTTCCATCAGTCGAACCCCCCTCACAGCGTCGCCCTTCAGTGGACTCGACATTGCCTGCCCCCGCTTTCATCGACGCCGAGCGTAGCTACAGTAGCTTGCCTCCTGGCGCTATGGCTCCGCATGTTCGCACCAAGTCGCAGACCGCGATCATCGAGAACGCCGCCGGCGCGGCGCAGCAAGCCGCCCCGATACGGCGCCAATCTTTGCATCCGGAGATTGTCAGTCCGGATGAGGACGACGACGAGATATCGGACAGTGAGGTGCCGAGGAAGAAGTGGTTCACGGGGTGGAAATCTCGCCGGTACAGCGACGGGGATGAGTCCCTGCCCAATTCGGCGCTGGACGACGTCGAGGGTGGAAGGACATTTCTCGGCGTACGCACAAGGAAACGCCGGGCCTCGCAGCCTCTCACGACGAGTGTTGATGAGCCTTCAACGTCGGGTCCGCCGGGCAAGTCTTTCGTCGTCGTAAGGCCCAAGCAATCATCCCGTCCGTCTACGGCAGGAGCCGGACCGTCTGGCCCACCGTCAAGCTACAATCCACCTGCCTGACATTCCTATGTTTACATCCCATCTACTATCATCTCGGTTATTCGGTTTCCAGTACACCCGATCACGTTGCTCGCATTTTACACGGACTTTATTCACAGGACATTCGCGCATTCACTCGCTTGCTCTCCTTCCGCTATGGTACTTCCCTCTATACCGTTGTATCCCGCAAATTTGTAAGAATCATAATGAATTCGCGACATAGCTATTCATCTACTCGTCCGTTGTCAGATCTGGAGAGCCGGTCCCGCCGACCCAGAATATTCGCCAGTCGTCCGCCGCGCGGCGCTGCCATCCGTAGTGGCCCTGCGTCTTCTGCAGTTTAGCATGTAGATCCTCGGTATCCATGCTGTCGTACGTCATCGTACTACTCGTAGAGTAGGAGCGAGCAAGAGGCGCATCGTACGGTCGGTCCCAGTGACCTCCGGGAAGCAACAGGCCGGTGTCACCACCAAATTCGGTTTGCGATCGCACGGGCTCCTCGGGCCGACCCTTTCCTTTTCCATCTAGCAAGGCGAAAGCCGAGAGCTCTTGAACCTCCAACCCGTCCTGACTTGCTGCGATCAACTGTAGATAGGGCATCTCACCCGCTTCTGAGGGGTATATTACCCGCGCCTCGATACTGGTGGGTGGGATACGCCAGACAAACGTCCTCCAGGGAGGAGTAAGCGCGATGTTGGCCGGCAAGGGATTCGGAAGGACATGCGTCCGGACACCACGCGTCAGGCAGCACACGCCTTGCTTCACCCCCGGTGCGATCGGGAGCTCCGTCTCTGCTGGCAATATCCAGTGCCCCTTCCCGTCCTTCACAAATGCGAATCCGTCTCCGGATCCGCGTCCTTTGCGAGAATGACGCGATGAGCTTGGCCCGAGAGAATTAAAGGAGCCGCCGCCATGCTCGCTCGAGGAGTGGGTGATGGAGCCAGTATCATCGTATAACTCGACCTCAGCCACAGCCGAATCAACAAGACGTATCAAGCCGGCTTTCTTCTCGAACACCACAAATAAGCTGAGTTGCTGGCCGTACTGCACTGGGCGAACAGAGGTGGACATATGTCGACGGCTGTGTCCATGACCGTGGCTGCTTATGAGTGTCGCGCTACTACCTTCGCGTTTGTGCTTCGAGTAGGAAGCCATGGAGACGTCGGAGGGACTGCGCGACATGGGATCTGCAGAAGGAAGCTGTTGTACGAACTTGATGTTTCGCGGGGAGACGGGTGTGTAAAAGTCCTGAAAGAGCCAGTCAGCCGGCTGCCGTAGTGACAGAAGAGCGGCACATGCCTTTAGAAACCTGAAAGCCCGTTCCCCCTTTGGCGATTCATACAACAACACCGATGACTTCGTTGCGACGGCAAGCAGTGCGTTCCCTCGAGGATGATTAAGATCGCGCCACACGGCGAACGTCAAGACGGACGAGTTCGCTAGACGCGAACCAGCAGAAGCCAAAGGCACATAATCCGTCGCCCAACGCAATGGTAATTCATCGACCATATCCCAACCGCTGCTTGAGTCATGTCGTGTCATCTCTGGACGTCGCCGGGGAGGCGTCTTATGCTCGTTTGTAGTCTGAACGAGGCGATCATAGGAGGGTCCGGCGTCCGGAGGGCTGACGGGTGACCCTTCGATGAGTGAGCGTATCCCTCGCGTGAAGTTGCCTGATACCCGGCTCTTGCGTTTATGAGATCCTTGCGGAGTCCATCCTGCTGGCCGGCCTAATTGTAGAGGATCTGTCCCCTGAGGCCGTTGTGAGCAAGTTTGTCACAACGAGGCGATGAACCAAGTAAATGCGCACCTTGTGCGCGACAGCCCACTTTGCCAGGCTGATAAGACTGGCGAGATTGTGCATTCGTAGACTACGATTCTCATCGCCCTCCTTTCCGACAAGACAGAGGACTACGCCTTGAGGTATGCTGTCTCCAGTATACTCGATTTCGAGTATACTCATCTGATAAACGCTGCGTGCGGATTTGTCAGAATAGAGACTCAGGGACAGTTGCACCAGTACGTACGCCTCGCCTTCCCATATTGGTAAAGCCTGAGCATCCGCAGGTCCTTTCGACACCAAGCCATCCTCGCCCCACTCTTGCGGGAACATATTCAACACCGACAGACCCTCGTCGTGACCAAAGAGCAGTAAGCGATCGCCCGTGAGCGGCAATATTGTATGGATCTGTGACTGGGAGTGTGCTAAGAAACGGGAGCCGAAGTGGGTCATGATGAGATGTGATGGGTCGAGGACCTGGCCTGCAGGAGCTTGTGACTCGGCGGAGTATTCATCTGGTGTGTAGGCTACGGGCGGTAGACTGGGCAGGTCTTGTATCAGCGTCTGTACGCTCAAGCGGGGTTGTGAGGAGCCGCTCCCTCCGGGTTCTGGCGTGGCTAGTCGCGGTGGGAGTGGAGGCACGGGAGATAGGGACAGACGCTCGGGCGTAGGAGGCGCGAGCGAAGCGGCCGAACGGGCGGGTGAGCGCTCGGGGAGCGGTGGCGCGTAGGGTGGCTCTGGATCGGGTATCTACGACAGAAGCAGCACTTGTCTCAGCTCGATATGATTGGATGTCTATACAGACGCACAGTCAGGTTATCACCCCACCCTCTCTGCCTTCTCCGGTCCAGGTCCTCCTGCGTCGTGTCTGCATACCGTTCCGCTGCTCTGCAAGCGCAACGGACGGTCAAGCCAAGTCGTCGTGCGACCAGCCGGGACGAGCGCACCTCTTCTCGATCCAACTCCTCCACCGCCCGAATCTACATGTGTACGCATGAGCGTGGCGCACAGGCGGCTATAGACGGTCATGTCGGCCATACCTCGAATTGGCGCCATGCCTCTCCGCTAGATCATCGTATGTCGGCAGATTATCGCCACCTTCGGCATCCTGTTCCGGATATCTCTCGTTTGAATCCATCGAGCGAGCGAAGTAAACCTGTCAAGGAAAGGTGCCCGAGGGGTTGTCTGGGTTTGGATAACCGGGGACGGTAGAACGTTCTGCGCACAGGAGTGCTAATGGGAGGACGGGAGAGGGCCGCTCGCGTTTAACCTACTGCGGGCGCTGGTATCGTGCATCGCCTCACGACGAAAGGACTACCGGAACGCAAGAACGGGCCACCGGCCGCGGGTGGACGCCGTGTCCGCGGCGTAATTGTTTCATTGTGGCATTATGATACACTGTATTAGGCGAGAGAGAGCGTGTTGCGTAGTCATTACGATACAAGTGAGAAGCGATGCGCGAAAGTACGTGTATGAAACAAGAGTACACTAAAATGCGAGAAGGAAAGAAATTATGGAGATGACAATGGACCGGGCGCTTGGCGAAATTCGCCACCCCTCCGAAGTTCACATAGCGAGACCTGCGAATACTGCTGCTGCGCCGACCATTGCCCCTCCGGCGACCTGTGCTAGACCATAGCTTTTGCGGCCGGTGCACTTGGCCGTGGCAGCATCCTCCTTCACAAGCCTCTCGCGCACATCGCCTACCGCCGTATCCTCCGTGCCAATGACCAATATCGCCTCATCCTTCCGCGTACCATTCTCCGGGATAACCGTGGCCGTGCGGAACCCGACCTTCTTCGCAGACGACTGTAGCTGCTCCACATCCGCAGCGGGCACGATGTACACGGAAACTGGCACACGGGCCGCAACGCGGTCAAGGTCTTCGAGAAAGTCTTCCCTGGCGTTCATACTGGCGGAACGTATGAGAGAACGTGATGAGTGGGCGGTGGGTTGCTGTGCGAGCGACGAAGGTTCGGTCAAAGGCTTGGAGCCCTCCTCAGGCTCGTCGGGATTCCATATTTCCGTACGCTGACTAGACGGGAGGCTGGGAGGGTCGGTCACGAGTAGACTGTCCGTGGGCTGCAGCAGAGTGCCAGGCATGATGCGGCCTTGCTCTTTCCTAATCTTCGCCTTCGAGAAAGGGTCCTTGGCCACCGCAGAGTTGGAGGTGGGAGTGACAGATGGAGTGGCGTTCCTCTCCTCTGAGCCTATTCGTAGCGAACTGAGAGCATTCGCAAGACGAAGATCGGGTGCGGGCGCGTCCAGCGCTTCATCCGCCGGCGGTTGATTTGGGCAACCCTGGCGCGGATGGCCCTTGCGAGGCTTTTTACAGATTTGACAATGAGGAGTCTTTCTGCCTTCTGGGCTGGTGGAGGGCGTCTTGCTGATAGGCTTCTGGGGAGTAGTGGGGGCAAGAGAAGCACGTGTGGTTGGTGCCATAGCGAACCAGTCGCGAGAAGAGGGAGCTGAAGATGAAGGGTAGAGCAGAGAATGTGTATCCGTCCTATTCCAGCCAAAGCTTAAGTACTGACACGCACGGAATATCCCGTGAATGGGACACAAAGAACGAGAAAAGAACGTGGATCGTGGGCAGGTCCAAGCGTGCAAGACGCGAGCCACGCAGCTCTTATCACCGATAAACACCGAAAGCCCCTGAAGCATTTTGAGGCGCGCTGGGCCAGTCAAGACTTGTTCTCAACGTTCTTCTTCTCTTTCGTCTCACGGGCCTCCAATGGCCAAGGGCTCGCAACTCTCGCAACTCAAGTCTGCACTCTCACAGGCCGGGATCACCAAACCGCCCGAAAACAAGAAGAAACGCAAACGCGCGCAGAATGAAGAAAAGGAACGCGCGAAGAGGGCTGAACGGCTGAAGGATATTCAGTCCAAGCTCAATCCGTTTGATGTGAAGGTTACCAAGCTCAAGCACGATGTCGGCGGGAGGAAGCTCAGGGGCGTCACTGGAAAGCCGGCGCAGAGCAAACAGGCTGGAATCGAACAGGTGTGTGTTCTCTGGGCCGGACAACAATTGGCGCTGAACGTAGGGCATCGTGTCCATAGCGCAAGAAAACACTACTACAGGAGGTCGCCGAACGTGGACGGGTAGGCGGCATCGTCGACCGTCGCTTCGGCGAGAACGATCCGACGATGACGCCCGAGGAACGTATGCTCGAGCGCTTCACCCGCGAGAAGCAGCGGGCTTCGCGAGGAGCCGCGTTTAATCTCGAGGACGAGGACGAGCTCACGCATTACGGTCAAAGTCTATCTAAACTTGACGATTTTGACAATGCCGGGCTCACGCTCGATGACGAGGACGAGGACGTCCGAGGTGTGTGGATTATTTCACTCTGTGGATTATTTCCTCATGTCCCGAACCTGCTTAGGCCAAATCGACGAGTCCACCGTCGGGCGTGCTCACTTTGGAGGCTTTGAGGACGATCAAGACGGTTCTGAGGTATGCTGTCGCTCACCGATTCATAATCTCAAGCTGAACGTGTCGATAGCCCGACCGCAAGAAGAGCAAGGCGGAGGTCATGGCTGAAGTTATAGCAAAGAGCAAAGAACATAAAGTACATCTCGGCTTGTAACTCTCCGCCTCTCAAATCACTGACACGTGCCTACAGATACAACGCCAAGAACAGAAGGACGCGGATGACAACGTCCGCCACCAACTTGACCAGGAGCTCGACTCTATCCGCTCATTACTCCTCAAACCTGATCCTGTCTCCGAATCGCTTGTCAAATCAAGCGATGGCTTGAATACTGGGAAAGCTGCGGAAAAGGACCAGGAGTACGATCAGTTCATCCGCGAACTCGTCTTCGATAAGCGTGCCCGACCGAAGGATCGTTTAAAGACGGAGGAAGAGCTTGCCTTGGAGGAAAAGCAGAAACTGGAAAAGGAGGAGCGGAGAAGGATACGGAGGATGAACGGAGAGGACGACGCGAGTGGTAGTAGTGAGGATGAGGGATGGAGCAGGAAGCGGAAGAGGGAGAGGGAGAGGGAGAGGGAGGACAGGGGTGGCGACGATCTGGAAGACGACTTCATGTTAGAGGTTGATGGAGGGCTGGGGGCGGGGCTGGAGGAAGAGAGCGGCTTGGAGGAGAGCGATGAGCAGGAGAGTAGCGAAGGGGGTTTAGATGAAGATGCTGGTAGTGGGGGTGGGGCTGTAAGTGGGAGACGGAGAGGGTCCATCGTTCCTGAAGAGGACGATCAGGAGGAGGAAGAAGACGCAGATGAGCCGGCGCCGAAGCGACGTCGGACCACACCCTTGAAAGCAATAGAGCTTCCATTCACGTTCCCTTGTCCATCTACGCACGACGAGTTCCTGGACATCGTCGAGGGTGTAGAGGACGTCGATATTCCTACTGTTGTGCAGCGCATACGCGCTCTCTATCACCCTAGTCTTGGGGTTGAAAACAAGTACAAGCTTCAGGTAAATGCCCGGAATGCTTTATCGCGGCGCTCTGACTGACAGTGCAATGATAGACTTTCATCGGTGTCCTCATCGATCACGTACTCCATGCTGCAGCGCCTCCAACGCCACGCTTTACCCTCGTCTCCGCGCTCATACCCCACATATACGCATTGACCAAGGCTTATCCCATCCAGTCGGGAGAACTTTTTGTTGCCAAGCTAAACCTCATGAACAAAAATCTCAAACGTGGACTGAATCGAGGTGCCAGCAATCCCGACTCACGAACATGGCCCGGACTAGCCGAGCTCGCCCTCTTGCGCGCTATAGGACTCGTCTGGCCAACGAGCGACATGAACCATGCAGTCATCTCGCCAACACGGCTACTCATGGGTTCATATCTCGGACTCTGCCGCGTGAGATCTCTACAAGACCTAGCTTGTGGTCTCTTTCTCTGCACGCTCTTCCTACAGTTCGAGCATTTATCGAAACGTCTCGTACCGGAAGTTGTCAAGTTCCTCATCAATGCTGTCTTGCATCTTGCTCCGCACCATCACGATCGCGCGACATCGCTACCCGGTTCCCCCCCGCATCCGGACTTCAAGGTTGACACGATTCAAGGATTGATGATCGACACCAAAGCTGCAGCTAATATGTCTGTGCGTGCGGCGGCTTTGGACCGACTGCTTACTTCGTCGGATGGCGACGATCAGGACAGAGTTAACCTTTTGGGTCTGACGGTCAACCTCTTGTGCTGCTCGGCACAACAGAACAAGGACCTCGACGCATTCGTCGAGTTGTATCAGCCCATTCACAGCATATTTCAGAGGGTCAAGTTTAACAAGTTGTCGAAGGATCTTCAGGTGTGTTTTCTCGAGCCAGCTTCTCGAAATAGCAGAGCTAAAGTGTATATTTACCACATCTATAGGCGAAGTTCGACTCGGCGACCGACATCCTTGGCCGTTTGCTCAAGTTCTCGAGACAGGCGCGCCAGCCTCTCCGCATGCAAGCCCACAAGCCTATCCCGATCCCCTCATACACCCCCAAATTCGAATCTACGTCCTCTTCATATCTCCGCACTCAAGACGCGGACCTTGAAGCTATCCAAGCCTCTAAATTGCGCAAACAGTACAAGCAGGAACGCAAGGGCGCTATCCGCGAACTTCGGAAGGACGCGAGGTTCTTGGCGGGAGTGGAACAGGAGAAGCAGCGGGAGAAGGATGCGGCGTATTCGTTGAATCTAAAGCGCGCCTACGGTGCCATCGAGAGCGAGAGGGCCGAAGAGAAGGCTATGGAGAGGGAGAAGGCGAGGGAGAAGAGGCGCGCGGGCCGAAAGTGACCGGTAGGACTGTAGGACTGTTGTTGCTGTCTCTTATTTGGATGGGTGTCTGGTCAACCTGCGCAATTCGGGGCCTGGCCTTTTATCTGTATAGTCTGTCAGAACTGCAACTTCTCACAAGCCAAAGCTCCAAAATGTGAAGGCGCCGAGTATAAGGCCCCTCGTGTGATTGGCCACGATAGTAATTACTTCAATAAGCGCCGAATAAGGCTCAAACACGCGAAGTTCGAACACGGGCGGAGCACCGCCATGACGATGTCAACGGGACCGACCGCATCCCGTCAACATCCTCCACCATCCCCTACGTTGACCTCCTTGCGGAGGCCATAAGTGCGACCTCAGCGTCATAAGGACTTTGTCCGAGCCGCCGACGCTCACGCCGCCCACGACTGGTGCCGTCCATGCTTACGGCGCTCAGAATCAACCGCGGTCGCGTGCGCAGGGCCAAAAGTTATACCCATAGCACCATCCCGCCTCACACCGCTGCCAACCCTCCTCATTTACGCCCTACGACATCTGAGTACTCGTCCTCAGGCTCTCAGTTACGTACGTGGGGACCCGAGCTGCTTATCCGAGCGTCTTCAGCTTATATAACCAATCTCTCGTTTCTCCAGTCTCGAAGGGGACATGGGCGCGGTCTCTGTCTACCTCCCCGCTTTCTCACTCGGCATTCAATACCGCGCGACGAATGGCCCAAGACCCTGAACCGGAAGGAGACCCGGAGAAAGACGCACATCCAGAGCACGCTGTGATCAGTACTTTTGACTTGTTCAGCATCGGCGGTACGTGCGTACCGGCTTACTGGGGGCTTTAGGAGCTGATTTCGATGCCCATTGCAGTCGGGCCCTCCTCATCCCACACGGTAGGAGTTATGCGTGGTTGGTTACTTCTCTGTTCTTGGAGACCAAGGTGTTCACTCGGTCTGCAGCAGGTTTCATATACATCAACGACATCGCAGAGCTTGGTCTTCTAGACAAGGTCCAGAGCATTAAGATCACTCTGTGGGTCGACATCGTCACCTGTCCTTCGACCGCTCAAACCTTCCGTGTAGGTATGGCTCTTTGGCCGCTACAGGCAAAGGGTTCGGATGGCGGATCCCACGCGAGCATTCCAATAGCTCACTGTCTTCCTAGGCATCATACTCCGCAGGCTGTTCTCCTTGGATTAGAGGGTTCAGACCCCGAAACGATTGACACCGGCACCATACCCTCCCGTTATGACGCTATACTAGCAAACAAACAGCTCCTACTGGGAGGTCAGTTGACGACAGGAAGTCGTTGAAATCCCTAAAGCTCATCGACCTTGACAGGTCACCACCGTATATCATATGATCACGACCGCGACATGCTCTGGAGGTGGGATCATGTCCTGCCGACTCATCCAAACGGAATGCGTTTTGCCTGTTTCGGCGCTGACGGTGAACTACTCGCCGTGAACGAGTACTTTAGGTTGGTGCATGGAAAATTGTCACGAACACCGGATCTAATGAAGATGACTTGCGTAGCGTTGGTGGTGGTTTTGTTGTGAACGAGAAGACCAAAGTCGATGAGAATCTATTCTATAAAGGCGTTGACAAGGCTCTCGTCCCCTCTTCGCGACTACAGCAACACTCATTGACAGAACCTACTCATGTGCATGAGGGCTCCCGTAGCGATGTGTTTGCTCGCGACGAGAGCCTGCCTCCTTACGTGTTCAAAACAGGCGCTGACCTTCTTGCACTCACTCGCAAGCACAATGTGTGTCTACGTTATCAATGTCATGCGCTGCTACGTCCCTGACCGCATTTGCAGATGACAATCAGCCAGATTGTGTTCGACAACGAGCGTAGCTTCGGATATAGCGACGAAGATATACAAGATAAGGTCTGCGGCTTCTCTGATACGTCCGTGCGTCGCACTCACACATTGATAGCTGCGACGCATCTGGTCGGTTATGGACGACTGCATCCGGACTGGCGTGCATGCACCAGATAGCGCACTGCCTGGTCGCCTCGGTCTGCGCCGACGCGCACCGATGCTCTACCGACGCCTCATGCGCGGCTTTTATCCTGGACTGTCGATGCCACGTGGAGCACCAGCCATCGCTGCGGGGGAAGGAACCGCCGGCGTCGTTGATGCGCCCCAGCTAGGTTCTGTCGAAGCTCCTGATCGAGCTCGGCTCCAGGCGCGGCGTGAATGGGAGATGAAGGACCGCGAGCGGATGGGTCCTCCTGCACAGCGCGCACGCGCCACGCGGGTTGTAGGCCAGTTCGATCATCCTATACTTCCGGAGCCACCGGTCAGTATATCTGTTGTGGACATCTCAATCATGTGTCTCACTCGTCTCAACAGAGAAAAACGATGATACCTGCGGTGGACTTCTTGTCGTGCTATGCAATTGCAGTCAACGAGGTGAACGCGAGCGGCGGGCGTATCGTCACGAGTCCTACAAATGGAGCGGCGGGCGTCATCCCGGCTGTGCTCAAATATATCATTGAGTTTGTCAGCGATGATCCAGAGAAAAGCGTCATGACGTTCCTCTTGACTGCTTCGGCGGTTGGTATGTTGTTCAAGCGCGGCAGTACCATATCTGCTGCCGAAGGTGGGTGTCAAGCAGAAGTTGGTGGTGCGCCATATCCCCTCCCACATTTGTGTCTTGCTCGTGCTCATATACTATCAGTGGCATGTTCAATGGCAAGCGCCGGATTTGCGGCCTGCATGGGTGGTATGACGAACTCGATCAACTCGACCGCTTCCCACTGATGAGTACTCATAGCTAGTCCGGAGACGGTGCTTCAAGCCGCCGAAATTGGTATCGGTACGTTATACGCCATCGGCGCAGGGGTCTCACTGATCCTATGTGTTATAGAACACAACCTCGGCTTGACGTGCGATCCCATCGACGGTCTCGTCCAGGTTCCCTGCATCGTACGGCGGTCTATCCTACACCGCCACAGTTCGGACCTGACAGACATTGTACAGGAGCGCAATAGCCTCGGAGCAGTAAAGGCTGTGACCGCCGCGCAACTCAGCATGGCTGCGGATGGAGTATACTCCGTCACATTGGACGAAGGTTCGTTCACGGTCTTGTGAAAGTTGCGCGTCGTATTCTAATTCGATCACAGCTATCGCTGCGATGAAACTCACTGCTCAGGATATGAGTGTTAAGTATAAGGAGACGAGTCTTTCCGGTCTTGCCGTAAGTATATATTTCCTTGAGTGGCATACGGGGCTTCATTGACTTGATCTCCCTCCATCAGACTACCGTCAAGATCCCTTTGACAGTTCCCGCTTGCTGATTTGGTTTTGAATAAGAACACAGTTGATTCTCGATCTTGGATAGACTTCGACAACTATTTGACGGCAACGCAGATATCTAGACCTACTGCAGCCTGGACTCCGATGCACCTTATGTAACCACATATTCTTGTAGCGCAGCGCGGAACGAGGTACGAGTCCCGCTTGCGCGGAGGCAAGATGAAGTGAGAGAAGGGCTTCCAGGCGGAAAGTGCCAGAAGCCCAGCCATCAAACCGCGTGGGTCCCACTGTGAGCATGAGGCTGGCCCGCTCGCGCCGGCAAACGCCGTTTCTCTCTTCGCGACCTCGACCTCCTCTCGCCCGCGCTGCTCTGCGCTCAAACTAATCTCTCTACGTTCGACACACAGCGCTACGCGCTGGGGGTTCTCTCCGGGCTCCGGGATTCTGGTCCCGGTTGTCCACTTGGAGACTCATCCGCGCGTGGCAGCTCGCGACTCGTTGGGCTCAGCGCTAGCCTCTCGCGTCTTCGCGCAGGCTCGCGACGCGTCCAGCGCGCGTCTCATGTGACCGCATCTCGGCGGGTCCGTTCCGGGCGCCGCCCTCCTTACAGCGTCCACTGACGCTACAGAAGGAGATCCATTCTACTTCTGTAGAATATCTCCCCAATTCACGGGGGACGGCGAGAGGGACACTCTCCTCCCGCTCGTTAGAGCACACACTCACTTACCCAGGGCTAGGCACTTTCCGCCGCCCTGAGCCCGTCGCTTCGAGCGGCCCGCATCTTGCCCCGTAATTACGAGTATCTAGTACGGATTCCATCGACCTGCAAGCTCAAGACCCGGTCTCTTTCGGTGGCAATGCTTGCATGGTACGCACTTGGTCATAATACAGTCTTGCTATTGGAGAAATTTTAGTACATCCTGTCAGCGGAATATGGAGCCAAAGCGTTACCGCATTGTAGCGTGTGAATTATCTCAACGCGTCGCGTCGCGTCGCGTCGGCCGCCGCGCGCCCAACGCGTCTTGCCTCTTACCTTCACTTTGTCGTCCCATCTTCAGGTCTTCGGTCCCAATATGAACCCTCCCTCCGGACCATACGCCCCTCTCGGTACACAGGCAGCCAATGAACCATTGCCGCCGCCGGCGAGTATGAGAAGGCAACTGCTGGAGGCCATGGAGGAAGACCTAGGTCCGACTGGAATCCCGACACAAACCACGGCAGACGCCTGGCTTAAGGCCTTCTCTGACCTCATCGACTGCTACATGACCCCTCTGGTCAACTACTCTGACGAAGTATGGAATCCCCCGCATTCGCACATCTCTTTGCTTGAAGTCGCGATCACACTCGTTCTACGCCTGAAGGACTCCCGACATCTATTTTTGCCCGAGAGGTGCCGAGCAAGGAAGATTATCCCTACACTCGTGGCATTCTATGTGCTTCTAGAGGGATATGACGCTTCAGGGCAGCCCGATTATGATGAATACTCTTCGGTGACTGGCGCCCAGTTGCAGAAGTTGATCTTCGAAGCCCTCGTCATGTATCTCTGCAGCGCTGGGGACAACGTTAAGCCCCGCATCGAGAAGGGGAATTTCGAAGAGGACGATCCCATATTGCTCACGACGCTTGACGCGTTTCTTCATACCTGTGACGGTACGCAATGAACACGCCGTATAAAGACGTCTTAGTGATATAACACAGAGCTCTTGGCAAAACGCGAGACGTTGCTGTACCCTTGTATGGTCCCGGTGCTGGCGCCTGGAAGAATACAGACTCGCTTGGACGATGAGGCACGCTCAATACGATCCTGTTCTCGTCCGTGTGCTGACCCCCGCAGGAACCAGTGACAGTGGACCATGTCCTCATATACAATGAACGTCAGGCTGCCCTACTGCCTACTTTCTCGGCCTCCCTTGTCGCGGCGGTGATGGCAGACAGACCCTGTGTGTCTGACTTTCTGATGGCGGCTCTTGACATTCGCCTTGCGAGGAGCCTTCGCGCGACGTTCATGTCCCTGATCTCAGGCTGCTGGCCCGGCCCTTCCGCCACGATATCTCGTTACGTGACGCTGATATTCTCCAAAGTTCAATTGTTGAATTCAACGCACACCGTGGCACATTTACGGAACATCTACTTCGACCTTCGTCACCAGTTACTGCTGTTTCGTATCAGCGTTAAAGATGGCAAATCGCGGATTTTACTGGATGCTGTTCTCGAGGCATGCGTATGTTCCCCACCGTCTTCGGCAGCGAATTGCCTTTCTGTTCTTCGCAGTCTTGCTCGAATAGACCCAGATGATCACAATCTTCGAGTACGTCCTGCCTTCTTCGGACGAGTTGCGAGACTGAGTGCTCTTCAGATATTGGTCGTTCGTTACTTTACTGCAGTCATCCCTTCGCTAGACAAGGAGTCTATCCAGGCTCTCCAAGATGGGCTCCCGAATGAAGCCATCTACGGGCCAGTTGCCGAAAGCATTGGACACTGTGTGTCCGCCCCGACGTCAGGACCAGTAGCTATGGACGTAGACGACACCACACACTCTCAGACACGTAGCCGCATTGTCAGCTGCCTGCGCGCAATTATCACCGGTGATCAGGCAATGAATCTAGAGGATATAGCCTCCGTCGTGGGAGGTAGCCTTCCCGCGCAAGTTCTGTGGCTTGTTGACCAGGGTTCCCCCAGGTATGCATGTTTCACATCGTTCCATCGTTATCCCCATCAAGTAGTCTGCTAATCAGGCATACACAGGGCTTTTGATAGTCATTCTCTCGAAGCCCAGGTCGCAACATTGAGATCGCTTATCGATCTACCTTGTCTCCTTGTCGGATGCTCTTCGTCAGAATGTCACCGCTGGGCTGGTTCGGATGGTGTTAGCATGCTCAGCGTGTATATACCCATTCTATCTCGTTTCGCCGCCGATGACAGTGCTCCGCCTCGAATTCGCAAGCAGGTCTTCAAAGCATTGTCTACTGCTATTCGTCATCACGCAGCGGAAGGCGTTGCAGAAAAACCATTGCCTATGGACGAGTCAATCATGTTGGCGTTGACGCATAAGAGCCGTCCTGTTCGCCTGGCAGCTGGGTGCGCATATTCTATCATTCACTTATATCAATGCTTACAGCCACTCTCAGACATGCGTTGGTCGAGTCCATACGGCTGTACGAGCTGGCTGGCACGGAAGCTGCCGCCCGGCAAGGAGAACACTTCTTCGACACGTGCTATCGCCTCCTGTCATCAGCTCCCGAAGTCATAAAAGAAACCATATTAGTGACTGTAGGAGCCGTAGCAAAGTGAGAGGTCTCATATACATAAGACGCAGCCTGCTGACACCTACGAAAGGGCGACGGGTCCCAAGTCTCAATGTGTAGCCGTGTGCTGCCTTGTCTCCCAGCTCGGTGATGCCAACCCTATCCTAAGGGGCCTTGCTTGCACGCAAGTGAGCCAGCTTTATTCTGAGTTGCGTGCCCACAACTAATTTCATGCAGCTCATGTCGCTGGCGGGGCCTGAGACGAAACTATACCGTGTTCTGTCACCTTACATTGGTCAAATCGCCGAGTACACCATCCGCCGCTGGCAGACCCAGCCCATGATTCTGACTGAGTTCTGCCGTACTCTCAACGTGATGCCGCACGACTTCGTCCGACTCCACCTCACGGAGAACGTACCTAAGTTCTTTGCCGAGCGTCAGCACCGTTTGCTGTCGAAGATCACAAAGGAGATGGGTTACAGGCCAAGGGCACTTTTAAGGGACATTATGCACGAAGTGATCGCTCATATCTTCCTGTTACCCGCGAAAGAGCAGACCGATAGGTCGCTCGAGTTTCTCGTGAAGTACATCTCAGACTCTGCGACTGGTCGCGGCAACGTCTACGCCGTCGGTCTAGTCAAGAGTCATCTCGCCGAGTTACTTGCAGCGTTGGCTGCTAGACTTGGTGATGAAGATGAGAAGATGGTGCACGCAGTCAGTCTCTCTTCAACTCGGTCTTTGGTCTCCGCTCATCTTTAGCCAGGCAACCGAAGCATTACTCCGGGTCGATCAGCTTCTGACTTCTGATAAGAAACGTTCGAGGACTGGACAGCCCAAGGGCGACCCCAAAGGCATCTTGCGGGCGAATATCCTCTCCGTCACCTCACAGATGACCGACATGCTCCAGGAGCTCAAGTTCAAGGTTTCAGTCATTGCGAAGAGGCGCGTTCTTCGTAGTTTCGGCTACATGGCCCGATTGCTGGGTCAAGAGATTGGTTACGTTGCACCACAGGTTCGTTACACGGTGTCAGAACCTTAGAGTCGAGCTTACTCTCCTGCATAGATCATGCTAGCCTTTCAAGCCGCTCTGGGAACCGAGTTTTCGGAGTGCGCACTGGAGAGTTGGCTCCTTCTGTTACAGTGTATGGCTGTTGAGGACATCGCGCCACACCTGGGCTTCATCAGCGCTGTGATGGTTCACAATCTGAGTTCACTCACCGAACGCGGTGGCCAGTTAGTTCGTGACTGTTTAGATCTCCTCGTCGTCAAGCTTCGCAGGGACTTGGAGCAATACTTCAATCAGGTACCGGATCTGGAGGGCATCCCGATGCTTGCAACTATACAGCACGCGTTACGGACCCGTCTTCGTCAAGTGAATCCCTCACACGAAACACGGGTTATGTGGCAGCTGGAGCGTGCAAGGAGCGACAATATCTCCGTCGTTTTCCTGGCACTCCGTGAATTGAAAACCTACATGGTCAAGCACCGCGAATGGGTCCAGACGTTGGCACTCGGGGATCTCTTCCATCCTCTCGTCGGTCGCATTCTATCGGTTGCATTGATGGCCGCCTCGCGCGACGGCGAAGGAGCTGAAGTTGTGCGACGCGTTGCATATGAATGTATCGGCGCCCTGGGAGCCGTCGATCCCGACCGTTGCGACATTGAAGAGCGCGAGCAATCTGTGGTCGTCATACATAATTTTGCAGATGGTGACGAGAACGCTGAATTCGCCACACACCTCATCGCAAACGTCCTTGTTCCTGCCTTCCGTTCAACTGGTGTCCTCCAGTATCAAAAACATCTCTCCTTCGCCATGCAAGAGCTGTGTAGATTCTGTCGATTCACCCCAGCACTTGTCTCCAACACGACGATCACTTCCGTAGCGCAGCGAGTACGACGCAACTGGCAAACTCTCACGCAGAAGAACGTGCTCGATGTCATCACCCCGCTTCTTGATAGCAAGTTTACTCGTATCGTCGAGGCACAAGACGACGCTTCGCCGCCCTTCTACTCTGCGCAGCCTACATATCGGGAGTGGCTGGCGACTTGGACAGCACATCTCGTCAAGAGGGTTTCGGAGGGTGAGGCGAGGACGATCTTCGGGAACCTCGAACATACCATATCCAAAGACGATGTTAGCGTCGCCTACCACCTTTTGCCTCACCTCGTTCTTAACGCAATGCTGTCTCGAGAGCCAGCAGAGATCGATGTCATCCGGGCAGAGATATTGGTCGTACTTGAGGATCAAGTTAAGCCCGCAAACACCTCTGCCAGAGACAAGCGCCTCCTGAGTGCCCAGGTTCATTGTTCTACCTTGATTCGTTCCTATAGTATACTCACTACATTTGCAGGTCATATTTCTTCTCATGGACCACATTCAAAAGTGGCTGCGCTTCGCTCGCACAACGCTCATGGAGGGAAAGAAGAAGAGTAATCACAATCGCAGAGATGCCCCGATCGGAAGCGTGGCGGATCAGATCTCCCGCGTCGACTCCGTGGTGACCAGTGTCGACCAAAATCTTGTCGCAGAGGCTGCTTTCCGGTGTAAGGCGTATGCACGATCTCTCATGAGCTTCGAGCAGCACGTAGTCGCCCTCCGAGCCCGTCAGGTACCCGAGAAGGAACTGCAACATTGTTATGATCGCATACATGAGATATACTCGCAGCTCGACGACGCAGATGGAATGGCAGGCATATCCACTCTCATACTGGAGCCGAGCTTAGAACATCAGATCCGCGAGCACGAGAGCAATGGTCGCTGGACATCCGCCCAGAGCTGCTGGGAACTCAGCCTGCAACAATCGCCCGATAGTTTGACCTGCCACAAGGGACTTCTCCACTGTCTACGCCATCTTGGGCATTATGGTAAGCCACCCACCCTTCGTGTCACGGCATAAATCTCAGCTCGCATACATACAGATACTCTGCGTACACACGTCAAAGGTCTACTCGTCAATAATCCAGAATGGAAAAGCGACCTTGTAGACTTTCAAGTCGAGGGAGCGTGGAATGCGGGTGCCTGGGAGGAGGTTCGGTCGCTCGTCGCGCAAGATGTGCCGGATAGTGCGCAGATAGCCATCGCACGCGTACTGGTTGCTATGCAATCCAACGACCGGGAAGGCATGTATGTTGCGCTTGGTGACACGCGGAGGATTCTGGGCGAAGCTATCTCGGCGGCTGGCCCATACGAATATCGGAGGGCTTATGACTCAGTGCTCAATCTCCATGCTCTCCACGAGATGGAAACGGTTCACTTGGTGGCTGCCACACTGGCTGAAGGCTCGAACAAACGAGTACTGACGACACTCTCCCGAAACCTTCGTTGCAGGCTCGAGTCGACGCAGCCATTTTATCGCGTACGAGAACCTCTGCTTAGCATGCGGAGAGTTGTATTCGCACTCTGGTATATTCATTGCTTTCTTATCTGCTCGTTTCGTTCATACATTCCCCAGTTCCCCTCAGTACCCGGAACTTCATACCGAGATAGGCAAAGTGTGGCTTACAAGCGCCAAATTCGCACGAAAAGCCGGCCATATGTCTGCAGCGTACAGCGCACTCATCCAAGCGCAGCATCGGAAGACTCCGTATGCATTCATTCAAGACGCCAAGCTCGTCAGGGCTACCGGGGACAGCGCCCGTGCACTGCGCGAACTCGAGCATTCCATTCGATTAGTTCAGGAAGCCGAGGCTGCCGTCATAGACCTTACTACAGACGCGAACGGTGGCGACAGCGAGAAAGATCTCGAGAGTAGGATCATGATGGGAAAGGCGGAACTTTTGCGGGGACGCTGGGCTAGGGATGAAGATAAGTTCTCGGAGAGGGAGGTCATAGCGTTCTTCAATAATGCGTTGGCCATCGTACCCAGGTACGCCTGTCACTTCAAGTCCTTAACTCGTTCTGATCTCTCTCGTAGATACGAGAGTGCATCGTTCTACTGCGGCCAGTACCATGATGCTCTGATCAAGCCGTCCACCATCTCAGACTCAAGCCGGGTTACGCGGTGGGCCTCATTGATCCCACGCTTTGAAGGAGATGGCAACTAATAAGCTGCAGTGCTGCAAAAGTGCGCGTCTTAGCCGTGCGCTCATTCATGAAGGCGATCAAGTATGGTACAAAGTTCACGTATCAGACTGTGCCTCGACTCCTCACTATCTGGTTGGACATGGGCGAGGACGATGAACTCCGCAAGACGGAGAGTTTCCGGAAGGTTATGGCTGAGATAAACCGCGTCCTTCCTGACATCCCTGCTTACAAGGTATTTTCTCACATCGGATGCTCCGACGACATCTCACGCTCTGTAGTGGTACACGGCCTTCCCGCAAATCGCTTCGCGCGTGGGCCACCCTAACGCCGAAGTCTGGAAGACCCTCTCTGTCATTGTTTCGCAAGTCATCGCGGAGTATCCCCAGCAGGCGCTATGGCAGTTTGCGCCCGTGATTAAGTCGAGGAATACAATGCGTAGCTCTCGTGGCAAGAACATCATCCAACAGCTATCGGTGCGTCAAGGGAGCCTTTCGTCATCCTGGATACCGATGATTCATGGTCATTCTTAGCAAGCACCAGGTCCCGGCGGGTCCAACAATACCGAGCTCCGCAGAATTGTCTCAGAGAATATGAGCATGGTGGTAGAGCTGTTGTGCCTCTGCGATCTGCCCCTCACAGAAGGCACAGCCTCTCTGTCCATGAAGAAAGACGTGCCAAAGTTGATGAACCTCGCCCCTTCGAGGCTTATCCTACCACTGCAAGAGAGTCTTGTGGCCAGTTTACCTCCCACATCTTCGGAGAAGGATTCCGCGCATCAGCCATTCCCACTCGATTGTCCGACCTTCGCGCAATTCTACGACGAGATCGACGTCATGAAGTCTTTGGCACGTCCGCGCAAGATCACCATCTTAGGCAGCGACGGCAAGAACTACATGTTCCTGGGAAAGCCAAAGGACGATCTACGAAAGGACGCGCGCCTCATGGACTTTAACGCGTTGATCAACAAGCTTCTGAAAGCCAACTCTGAGTCTCGTAAACGCCAGCTATGTGAGTCATCTGGCGACTATTGTGGGCTCCGACTAAAACGGTGTAGACATTCGCACGTATGCGGTCGTGACGCTGAATGAGGAGTGCGGCTTCATCCAATGGGTGCCCAATACAACACCGATGCGACCAGTCATCTCCGGACTCCTTACCGCGCGTGGCGCTCCAGCCTACTTCCCAAAGATCGACAACATCTATAAAAGGATCACGCCAGCTGACGACAAGACTGCGACTGATATCTACCTCAAAGAAGTTCTTCCTCTCTACCCGACCGTCTTCCACGAATGGTACATTGAGACATTCCCCGAACCGTCGACATGGCTCAACGCTCGGCGCACATATGGCCGAACTCTCGCAGTCATGAGCATTGTTGGCTGGATCCTGGGATTGGGTGATCGACACACCGAGAACATTCTGCTCGACAAAAATACCGGAGCTATCATTCATGTCGACTTCAACTGCTTGTTCGAGCGCGGGAAATTGCTCGTTTGTCCGGAGCGCGTCCCGTTCCGCCTCACACCCAATCTTGTCGCCGCGCTTGGAATCGTAGGCGTCGAAGGTGTCTATCGGAACGCCTGCGAGGTTTCGTTTGAGATCCTACGCGACAATAGCGACACGCTAATGTCTGTACTCGACGCGTTCGTTCACGATCCGCTGGTTGAGTGGGAGGACGAGAAACGGAGACAGGTGCGCGCATGTCTTCTCCTTCTGATACATCTAGATTGAGGAAACGCTTCAGCAGGAGCGCCACTCAGGTCGGAAACGCGAGAACGCTGCGATCGCTTCGGCTGATCTGAAGGCACTGGCCCACAACGCACTCGATCCTATCCAAAGTAAGCTGTCAGGCAAGGTCGAGGTGAACTCTATCGCGTCGGAAACGCGGAAACTGCCCGCGAAGGCGCTGGTAGAGGTGTTGATTCAGCAGGCAACGGATATAGTCAACTTGGTATGTCATCGTGCATCCTTCGTAGCTTTCACACTTCTGAGATCATACATAGGCTAATATGTACCCTGGTTGGACCTCGTGGATGTAATAAGCTCTCTATGATACAGTAGTACCCCGTCGGTTTATTATCATGTTATTGCCCCTCAGAGTCCGCGCACTTCAACCTGCTGCTGGATTGTTCCTGACTTCATGTCTACAAAATCCGTATCCACCGCGGACAAGGGTTGCATATTTCATTCAACAGCAGCAAGGATGACAGTACTAAGCACTTCATAGGTGGTTTGCGCACACACTGTATACAGTAAGTAGCCGCGGCTACTGGTACCCATGTAAAGGCCTTCAGAACGACCTCATTCTTCAAGCTGCCGCCTCAGTTGCTCAAGTTCTCTTTCCTTCTCCGCCAGTTGATTCAGTATCTGCTCTCGCATAGCACCCGCCTTTTGTGTGGCGGCGTTCAGCCTCGCCCGCTCGTCCACAGCCATTTGCATATTGAACTCGGGAACACCACCTTTGCTGGCAGCGAGCGCTTCTTGCGTCGCAAAGCTGATATGGAAAGGTACAGGTTTCCTCCTTGTCTTGGGAAGTGGCGTTGGCGGGTGCATCTCGAGCGTCGTCAAGAAGTTCACAAATGGATCGGTGAAGACGATTTCATCGTACTGCCAGCTGTGCACTGGACCTGCACGTGCGGCCTCGTCAGGTGGCGGCGCCTCCGTCGGATCGACGCCAGTCGCCGTCCATGGGTGAAGCTTGAGATGGTGCCATAGCGTTATGGTGCGTTCTCCGGCTTCTTGTACAAACGTGATCTTGATCTGTACCTCGAACTCGCCCCAGCTACACAAGTCTTGTCAGACGGCCCGTTTTTGAATTCAACGGGATAAGCAGATGGTTACCCAGTTTCGGTGACCTCAAATGGTGGCGCGTCTATATCTAGGCTTGCGTGTTTGCGTCAGGACGCAGTTGAACCGCTGGTATATTCACACACTTCGTAGTGGATTGGGATACGTCTCATGCAGCTTGAACGAGACACGTTTTATGAAGTGAGAGATGTCATCCTTCCCACCAACTTGATCGGAGTTGTCCTTTGAGGCAGCACTCCGAACAGCAACTGTCCAACGATGCGTGTGATCTGGCGAGGCGAGTGACCGGCGTTCTTCGGGCGAAAGCAGTATAGCAGTATTGCCATAAATAACGGGACGATGTATTTGTATGCCCTATGAGCAAGGTCACATTACTCGCGATACATAGGCGATGCATTGAGCTGAGCCGACCTTTTGACGGGTGCGCTCTTGGGATGTCATGGTGGTCGGAAGAAAGAGTCGTGACCGCGTCGAGACGCGTCTGCGGATGATCTCGGCGCCCGCCGGCGGCCTACCTTGCGCGCCCGACGCGCGCTTGCTTCACCTCAACCCCCACTCAGTTCACCATGGTCGTCGGCTACCTCACCAACTGTGCGTCTCGCATGGGGGATTTATGACTGGACTATATTGACGTGCATATGGCTGCAGTGCCTAACAAGGTCCCCGAGAAGCAGCGGGCGTATCAGGTGCGTGCCCTCATGTTTGTTCTCGGAATTGACTGGCTAATGTAGGACCAGGCCATGCACAAGAATATCTGGTATCGCCCTGCCGGCTCCAAGCTCTATATGAGTATGTTTGCTGGAGGTTATTCTAGTACATCCGGCTAATGTGCGTGTACAGACACCTTCAAGGTCCTGTTCGGCTTGGGCATGGTCGGCAGCGTGTATAGCGCCGCCAACCTGATCATTGTGCGTGCCATCCATGCCCCCTGCATCACGATATAACAGAACTCACGTGTGCACTAGGGCAAGCCCTCAGCATAGGCTCACCTACGTAGCTGGCTCCGTTGTCTATAGAGAGAACAATGCAATTTCCATACTACGCTCCTAAATAATCTATGCATGGCTACAAGATGCTAGAAGTTTGCCAATGTCGGAAATGCCACACAATATTGTGAAAGTGTACCTGAGAAAAATACATATGAGCAAGCGCTCGAGTAGTGCGCAGAGCGGATCGGCAGAACTTCCATCTTGCCTCTTGCATACCATCTCGCTATCGGCTGCTGTTCTCCCACCGTGTAAACGACGCCTCTACCAGCGCCACCATGTCTACGCCCTCTGAGACGGCTGCGACTAATGCAGCAGAGAACGTGGCGATGAAGCAGGAGGCGTGGATAAATTGGCGAACGGCGCAGAAGTCGTATCGAAATCGGTCGGGCGCGGTGCGTCGCCT